ACAAACGTCACTATGAATTAATTCAAGTGGTTCCGTTTTTGTTTCAACCGATTTGAAAGACGTTTTCATTAGTTTTGTCTCTACACAAATTTCACATTTGTGATTCACATCAATTGTGAATTTTGGAATGTGTTCCATGTTAATTGATCTACGTATGGAATTAAAATTAATATGTCCTAGTCTACCATGCCACACATTAGAAGACTCAAGCAAGTAAGCAGAAGAGATTTTATTATTATTATTATTATTATTATTATTATTATTATTATTATTATTATTAATAATCATTACATTGAGCTTAAACAGCCCATCAACTGCATACCCCTTTCCCACATACATTCCCGATTTAGACAAAACTAGTTTGTCCAACTCAAAAACCATGCGGAAGCCATGCTTGTTCAACAACGAACTGGAAATCAGGTTTTTGCGTATTTCCGGAATGAACAAAAGTTGGTTTAGAGTCAGCTCTTTTCTCGAAGTCATCTTCATGACCACCTTGCCCACGCCTTCAACTGCGGAATGAGCAAAATTTCCCATCCACACCTTCTCACCATTTGATGGCTCAAAGGTCGTGAATAGCTCCCGGTTTGAGCAAATATGCCGGGTTACACCGGTGTCCACGAACCACTCCTTGGAATTGGATCCAACGAGGTTGACCTCGATCACCACGGCCGCAAGGATGATGTCTTAATCCTTTTGCCCACCTTGCACCAAATTGACGTGAGAATCTTTCTTCCTTTTTGGTGCCTTGCAATTCGCGGACTTGTGTCCGTTTTTATTGCAATTGAATCATTTTCCGTTGAACTTTGTCTTGGAAATGCCTCCCTTGGAACCGAGCTTGCTCTTCCCATTATTTATATTTTTGGAGCCTTTAGCATGCTCCACCACGTTTGCCTTGGCGCTAGTAACGATTGAGAGTTTCCCATCGTTCTTCCGGTTATCCTCTTCAATCCGAAGACGGAGGATCAATTGCTCCAAGTTCATTTCCTTTCGTTTGTGCTTAATGTGACACCGTCCCCAAGCATGTTTACTTTTAGTAAATGATGTAGTAAACTTTGAAAGATGATTTATGAATTTACGTAATTGTTAAAATTTTATTATTTCCTTTACGTGAATAGTAAATTGCATGTGGGACCCACAGCGGGAACGAGGACCGCCCGATAATTCTCGAACCACATATTATACTCATCTTGGTCTAGATGACATCTATATGGTGGTGGATATCCTATTTGGGCCATAAGAAAGTCATGGAGTTGACCGGTCGGTCAAACGGGGCCCAATTACCGGTATTGGTAATTTAGCGGATAACAGCCCGAAGTGAGTTTCGGAGACTCCTAAATTAATGTTGGGGAATGTACATCTATTCTAAAGGCCCATAATTATTGGGAACGAGTGACATATTTTATTTGGCCCGATAAAATAAAATATAATTAAAACGGGCTGAGAAATACAACTTTCGGGGCCGAGTGTACACACCGGGACATAACGGGATGACCTCCCACCAAAGTGGGGGCCACCCCACGTTTTTGTGTGCTCCATTTGACTGAATGGGAGCTGGAAGAGACAAGGAAAATGGGCTGGAGTCGAATTATAGGAAGAGGGGATGGATTGAGACCAAACCCCATGTCCTACACATTAACTTCCCATTTGATTGAGGAGAGTTGTCTCCTATCATTTCTCATCCTCAATCATACGACCAAGGCAAGGAGAGGAGCTCAGGAGAAGACCCTCACAAAGCTCATAGCTCGAAGGAAGCAAGGAGTAAAGGAAATCCAACTCAAAAAGGCTAGAAATTAAGGTAAGAACTCAAATAGTTCTTGATATTTGGATTAAACTATATTTATCAATTGAGATGAATTAGTTGGCTATGAATTAAGAACTTGGTGGTTCTAAGATTATCCGACTAGTGTTGGGATACTAGTCGGGAGATTAATATAAATAAATGATGGAATTAATCCTAAGAGATAGGATTGTAAATGAGTATGCCTTAAGTAGTCTTAAGAGATACTTTAAGGTTGAATTGTATGAACACTAAGGTGTGGTAGGGGTAGGCCTAAAGGTTACCCAAGTGAATTGATTCTAGACATAGGATTTGCTTGAGAATTGGACTATGAAAATAAAGTAGAGTTGGACTCTAGGATTGCAGGGAAATGTAGTTGGGCCGAGCCCTTGCCATGTAATGTGATTAGCATGGAAACATAGTTGGGCCGAGCCCTTGCCATGTATATGTGATCTCCGTGGAAACGTAGTTGGGCCGAGCCCTTACCACGAAGTTATGGTTGGTATGGAAACGTAGTTGGGTCGAGCCCTTGCCATACAATTTTGATGTGTTATATTGAGTTAGAGGATTGTATAGAAATGTAGTTGGGCCGAGCCCTTGTTATCGTGACTTGCGGTCACGGGGGAATGGAAATGATGAATTCTAAATGAATATGGGCCCACGGGCCGACTACGTGACTTCATATAAAGTAAGTATGATTTAAATAGCAAAAAGGGGTAACCGGGGGTTATGGCCTATAATGTAATATCACCCTGAATTGAGGGTCTTAGAAATTTAAACATTGATTATACTTAGTATAGTTTCTATTGTACTTGTCAAATGTTTCCAAGTACTGACCTCCCCTTCACGGGGGAGGCCAACTCACAGTTTCAGGTAGAACTTGAAGGTTGTTGCCACCGCCCGTTGCTTCGGGAAGATCGAAGGGAGAAGACGGGGTTCGTGCTTCTTCCGTTTCTGTTTTTAAAACAATTTAAAACAATGTTCATGGATAATACTTTCTGAATAATTACTTTTGGGGACTTGCATGCCTAATTATGCCAAGTGTGGCTTGAACACTTGTATTAACTGTTTCCGCTGCTTTAATAAATGTTTTACATTATGTTGTTTATGGATGTACTATGTGTGAATGGTATTCAAGACACCTTGTATAGTATGGATGAGTCGGACTGCGGTTGACTATCCGTACTGTACGGCGGGTTGTTGACGTGTCCGGGTGGGTCCGGGGCGTGACACTTAAGGTAGTTCTTGAAATCCTTCCAAGCCGGCGGAAACAAATGGATAATTGATGTCACTTGGAAAAGACTCACTAACTGTCATTCCTTCATCTCGAATTTTGTTGAAGATCATTTGCATTTCCTCAACTTGACTCAAGACCGTCTTCGAATCCACCATTTTAAAATCAAGGAATTGACCGACAACAAATTTGTTTGTGCTGGAATCCTCGCTTTTATATTTATGGTCCAAAGCATTCCATAGCTCCATACCCGTAGCTAATTTGCTATAAACGTCGCACAAAGCATCATGCAGCCCGTTCAACACATAGTTTCGGCAAAGGAAGTCAGAATGCTTCCCTGCTTCAACCGCGTTGAGAGATTGTGCATCCACCTCACACCTGGTTACTACCGGCGTGTCTTCGGTCAAGAACCTAGCAAGACCGAGAGTAGTGAGATAGAAGAGCATCTTTTGCTGTCACCTCTTGAAGTTTAACCCATTAATTTTTTCGGGTTTCTCCACATAGTTGTTTGGCACAGTAACCATAGAGATTTTCCCTTGGTTTCCCAAAGTAGATGCTCCGCGTCATGAACCATTGTTCACTGAAGCTCCACTTTCAGAGTGAGTGTCGTTTGGCACGTTCTGTCCACCAACATTTTGGATTTCTTGAGAAGTCATTTTCGTTTTCTTAAGTTTTCCGAAAACACAAAAAAAAAGTTAAGTTCATTCACCTCCGTGACAAACTATTTTTTAGATTGTTTACCGCAGTAAAACAATCACGGAATACGTTTTAAGATTATTGGGTGTGTTTCGAAAAACAAAGAAATAACTAATAAAAATTAATTAATTAAAATGACTACAGAAAAACAGAAAATAGATGAAGCAGAATTGGCCAAAGCTCGTGCAACGCACGATGTCCTTAAAACGTATTTGTTGCCTCCCGGATGCTAGGAGCGTTGCAACGATCATTTCCCAGGATACGATGACTATGAACAATTGTTTGAGCACTCAAACAACAAATTATTCCGGCGAACGTGAACAAGTATGAACACCAAGGAATTTTCAGGGAGAGCTGGAGGTATTTTTAGGTTAAGAAATTCGTGATGAATGTATTGTGCGTTGTGTTGTTGCAAACCACCTGTCAGCCTTTATATAGGGAAGATTTGTTGTGCGTTACTTACGTTTTTAATGGACATTACCGTTGGACATCAATGTCCAGCACGTTGGCATTGAATCATCTGTAACTGTCCATTTAATTGCATGAACGTTGGGCATTTATTGTCCTGTAATGGCAGCAGCAGTCTGCCGTGAGCAGCGGACTCAGCAGGCGGCTGTCGTAAGCAACAACCTCAGCATCGGCTGCCGCGAGCAGCAGACTCAGCAGTCGGCTGACGCGAGCAGCAACCTTATCAGTCGGTTGCCGCGAGCAGCAGACTCAGCAGTCGGCTGCTGCTGCAATCGGCTGCCGCGGGCAGCAGACTTAGTAGGCGACTGAGGGCAGTGGGCTGCTCCAACCGGGCAGTGGGCTGCTCCAACAGGCTGAACTTCGAGAATCAATTTCTCATTCACTCGATATCCGTTTTGAGTGTACCACATATCGAATTGTAGCCCTTAGCAAGGACAATCCGAAACCACTTTGACCCGACCCAAATCAGAAATGGACCTCACTCAAATAATTGCCCCAAAATGACCATGCAATTTCTTAACACATTTTCCAACATGTGTGGTCGTATTTGGGAATTTTCCATTTAATTCTATTTATGTAATTTTTCAAAATATTACACAAAGGTGGTCCTAGATATTTAAAAGACAAAAGTATTTAATGGTTTTGGAGAGAACATGATTATGGAGTATTTTGTTGATGAGTGGTGGTTGGGAAAGGGCATGCTTCGTCGTGCACCCTCCATTCAAACACAAACACTTTGAACTTTAATTTCCACACACACATACGGAGTATGTCGTATATAAACCCTCCTATAATAAACTACTCCAAGTCAACAATATACAGAGTATCAGCAACAAGAAACAGAGATGGTGAGCGCAATGGCGACGGCAGCAATCATGCCAAGCAGCAGGGTGGAGAGGCTGGCCAACAGCTGCACTGACCGCATCCCTAAAGAGTACATCAGGACGGAGGAAGAGCGGCGGAGCATGGCCGGAGACATTTTCGAGGAAGAGAAGAGGACCGAGGGCCCGCAAGTCCCGACTGTGGACCTGAAGGGCATCGATTCAGAGGACCCGGTGGTGCGAGGGAAGTGCCGGGAGGAGGTGAAGGCGGCGGCGGTGGAGTGGGGGGTGATGCACCTGGTGAACCACGGGATACCGGAGGAGCTCATCCACCGGGTGAAGGCGGCTGGGGAGGGCTTCTTTGCTCTGCCTATTGAGGAGAAAGAGAAGTACGCTAATGATCCGGAGTCGGGGAATGTGCATGGCTATGGCAGCAAGCTGGCAAATAATGCAAGCGGGCAGCTTGAATGGGAGGATTACTTCTTCCATTGCGTCTTCCCGGAGGATAAGACCGATCCCTCTCTCTGGCCGGAAACCCCCTCTGATTACAAGTAAGCTTTTCTCCTCTGTTCCACTCTGCTTCAATTCTCACTGATTAACGATAATGAACACTACTACAATGATTGTAAGTTTAAGAAACATATTAAATCACAATAGATCAAAAAGAAATTTGACCGGAGTATTAATTGTCTGGTTTAGATTTGTTTAGTAGAATAGGCAAAAAGAAAAATTGGCAAAATTTTAAGTGACTTAGATTTAAATAGATCAAACAAGATCAAATTAGATTATAAAATTTCAACCCAATTAAAAATATTACTCCGTGTAAGAGAGTTTGAGATTTGAATCCCTTATTTTCGTTCTTATTGGACTTTACAATCCATTTAGAAAAAAGGTGTTTTTGTACTTCATTCTTTCATAAAATTCTGAAGTCATGAAATGTGGACATTATATTTTCTGAAAATATGGCTCAAAATTCAATATAGTCCAAAATGTAAAGGGTGAAGCAAATTTTCCAAGATTTTGTATTTAAACTCAAATTTTAATTTTAGAATTCAAAATAAAATTTACTATCGTACCTAATTTACAAGGAAAAGTTCCCAAAATAGGAGTAAAAATATTTTGGAATTCTAAAATATGTCTATCATGTTTTTTATCCTTAAATAGGAGTAATTATTGTCAAATTTAAAAAATACAGTCACGTTAGTATGTTACCGCCAAAATATGAGAGTAATTACCTTCTACGAGTATTTTGGAAATAAAAACATGAAATTCCTATTTTGAAATTTGAGAACGTCCTTACTTGGCAAATTCCTAATTTTCAAATACTAAAATGAGTTTATGAATTGTGAATGAATTGCGTTGACCTCAGAGATGCAACAAAGGAGTACGCAAAGCAGCTAAGGGGTTTGACCACAAAGGTCTTAGCCATACTGTCAGCGGGACTAGGGCTGGAAGAGGGGAGGCTGGAGAAGGAAGCAGGAGGAATAGAAGAGCTTCACCTACAAATGAAGATCAACTACTACCCCAAGTGCCCGGAGCCGCAGCTAGCCCTGGGAGTGGAAGCTCACACGGACGTCAGCGCCCTCACCTTCATCCTCCACAACATGGTCCCCGGCCTCCAGCTCTTCTACCAGGGCAAGTGGGTCACCGCCAAGTGCGTCCCGGGCTCCATCGTCATGCACGTCGGCGACACCCTCGAGATCCTCAGCAACGGCAGGTACAAGAGCATCCTCCACCGCGGGGTCGTCAACCGGGACAAGGTCCGCGTCTCGTGGGCGCTCTTCTGTGAACCGCCCAAGGACAAGATCGTCCTCCAGCCCTTGCCAGAGACTGTGACACCAGCTGAGCCTCCCCGCTTCCCGCCTCGCACTTTCGCTCAGCATCTCAAGCACAAGCTCTTCAGGGTAAAGGATGAAGGAGCAACGGCCGGTGGTGAAAAAGTTCACTAGTTTATTTCATTACGGATCGATCGATCTAGTTACTCAATTGATTACTTCGTATTAGTCATCATTTATTTATTTCAGTACAAAAAATAAAGGGATATTTTGAATTTGTGTAATCGAATAATTACTTCCTAAGTGATATTTTGACTTTGTCGTTTTCTCTTTTAATCAATTAATTTGTGGTTTTTATTTTTTCTCTTTTTTCTACACAAAACTTAATCATACAGATTTACTTTATTAATTTTCGTACCGCTCAAACCTGGTAAAATTTTAAGAGATGGAGGGAATACAAATTAATTTTTTGATAAATATTGTTAAATTCCTCTCATTTTAAAATTTTCAAATATGACACTTTTAACTTTTGTACTAATAAAAAATGAAAGATATTAATGATCAAACTTGTGTGTAGACAAATGTGAAAAGTGGATTATTGCAACTAAAAAACGAGAGAATATTTGACATTATTTTCTAATTTGAAGTTACCTTACTCAACGATATGTACATATAACTTTTTAAAACTCAATTTTTTGTCTTATTTGAATAGAATATGTATTTATATATAGAAAGAATGGCTAAAACTACATCCCGCATTTGAATGAACAAAATTATAATCATTTTACAACTCGATAAAAATGTGACCTAAGGAAAAGCGTTGATATCTGCCCTGTGCCTTATCTCTTCGCACCAACATCTTTCACGTCGATCTGGAGATGAGCACTTATATGGAGAGCATTGATCTAGAGACGAGCACAATCTTTCAACATAACAATGGCCATCGATCTCCAATGCAAATTTGTTCCCTTCCAGCTCTACAACCACTTCCATCGTTCTTCTCTAACTTCAATCACTGTTGTATCTTCTCCTTCTTTCTTCTTCGACGCAAAATCTCATTGCTGACTTCAATGGATCTCTGTTGTCGTTGGAGGAGTTGGTGTTGCTGCTGGACTATACGTCGATCGTTGGTGTCAAATCTTTCGATAGGTGATGACGGCAACGATTCAGCGATGATGGCTAGGGTTTAGTGATGGTAGCGGATATGGTTCGGTGATGGTGACAGCTAGGGTTCGACGATGGCGGTGATGGGGAGGATGGCTGGGGCTAGGTAGGTGATAACCGCTTTCGCGGTGTTGTAGTAAAATATTAAATTATTTAATATTTTAATTAAATAGTTCTCCAATAATTAAAATATTGGAGAACTATTTCTATCTTGTTTATGAAATTTGAATTTAATTCAAGCCAACCATCTTGAACGCGTTAATGAAACCTAGAAATAGGATAAATTGAACCTTGCTCATAGTCGTAATTTATCTATTGCAAATTTGCATATTTTAGAACACAATCACCTTTTTATATTGAAAAAGCTTCCGACCATTAGCAATAGCTCGTGACTAAGATTAAATTAAGAAACCCTTTCGTCATTCCTCTGAGACACGATACTCGGGAAAAAACCGAAAGGTTAGACAAGATGTAAATCCCTTTCATTAAAATATCCTATTTCCAGGCTTTATTAATGTGCTTGAATATGATTGTCTGAAATTAGTTTCTAATATCATAGACAAGTTAGAAGTTTCAAATACAGAGAAAATGCATTAGTCACGACTCTATATTTGAAACTTCTAACTTCTAACTTGTCTATGATATTAAAAACTAATGTAAAATGAAAAAGCATATAAAGAACTCACAATTTGAAGCTAAAATGAAGAAGATACAGAGGTTGGAAGTTTCTCCCTCTGCAAGTGTTGAAGAGATGCGCAAATGCCAAAGAAAGATGGACTTTTCGGATTGATTTAGGGTTTTGAATGGTGTTTTTGAGATGAGTAAAAAGTCGGGTATTTATAGATAGAAAAATCTCACAGGCGGTCGGAAGGGCGGCCGCCCTTCATCCTCAGCTGGCCGTTTGCCATCTCATCACCTGCAAAGCGGCGTGCCTTGCGTCTCATCAGCCGCAGGCGGTCGCAGAGGGACGCCGCCTGTTGTTCCTGTCTGACCGCCTTCCATCAAATCTCACCGGCTGGTCGTTGCTTCTGTCGATTTGTTCCACAGGCTGTCACACAGGGCGGCCGCCCTCCGTCCAGTGTCGGCAGCCTTCGGTCTTCTTCCGGTTTTGGTCGAAGTCAAAGTCTGACTTTTCAAATATACCATAGGCGGCCTATCAAGCGGTAAGATTTGGGCGCCTTAGGGACCGCCTCTTGGTCAATTTCTCTGGCTCGTACTATATTTCTGCTCTTCAAATTTCTCTTCTGGACCACTTTGATATTTCGCTTCCTTCTTCCTATACGAATTCATTTGTTACTCAAACTGGCCAATTTTGTGCTCAATTGACCTGAAAATTCGCCAAACATATTATGAATGTGTTTTTCACTTGATTTCTTGAACCAAAATCTCCAAAACATGCATTATTTTTCTATTTTCTATCCAAACAATCGCTCAAATATGGTAGTAAAAATAAGTACAAAAATGGACTTATCAGCGGGACAGTGTGCAAGGTGCATGGATGGGGTGTTGGGAGATGAGGCATGGGGGCGGGGGACAGGGTTAGTGGGCGGTGTGCAGGGAAATAGCCATGCCGGCGGGGTGGCGGGTGGCGGTGTTGGGAGACAGATTTGCCGAAAAAAGTAATTGGAAGATTTTTTGACGAACAGAATGACATGTTTCACGGTGTCAGTGACACAGGCAGTGACGACAGTGACACGAACGGTGGCTACTATGACATGGGCTGTGGCTACAGTGACACGAGCGGTGGGTGACAGTGACACAGGCGGTGGCGGCAGTGACATATGACAGTGACATTAAATTAGGCAGTGACATGAAAATCTTGCAGTGACATCAAATTTGACAGTGACATCATATTTTTCCAAATATATAACTTTCGTAGTACATTTTTTCCTAATGTAGATGTGGTCACATTTTTTAACATTATCTTTACTTTAGTAATATTCCACACAAACACAAACACACACACATAGGGAGCGGTTCCGGTAAGAATGGAGTCCCAAGAGAGAAATGAGAGTGAATATGGACCGTTGGATTGTATAATGTGGAACTGAAATGTGCATTTGATGAAACTTAAATGTGCATCAGATGATATTGAAATGTGTAGAATAAAAATTTAACTCAAGTGTGCATTGTATGAAACTGAAATGTGCGAAATAAAAGGTACAAAAATAACATCACATCGTACCTTAATTTTATTCTGCACATTTCAGTTTCACCTAATGCACATTTCAATTTCACCTAGTGCACAATCAGCTTCACATAATGCCACTGTATCAGACCATTTGTGTTGCACATTTCAATTTCACCTAAAGCACATTACAGTTTCATCTAATGCACGTTGAATTTCACTTATAGCAAATCTAATGGTCCAGATTTATTCTCATTTTTTCCTAAGATCATGTGTTTATTTAAACTATGGCTTCAGTCTCGAAACATGTGACATGAATCACAATTAAAGATCTAGGAACACATCGTTGTATGTTTCAATTTTACCATGAGGATGATTACAATAGACTGTTATTTGAAGGGCCTTGATTGTTTGACCAAAACCTAGTTGTGGTTAATAAACGGGAGGAAGGGGATCTACCTCTATATGTCCCGTTGAATAAGGCGGATTTTGGGGTGCAAATTCAGGGATTACCTGTAGGTTCCTTTTCCTTAAGTACTGCTGAAAAATTGGAAATCGCTCAGGTGCTTTTATTAAAGCAAATGAACAAAATGCTACTATGTTATGGAGTCGTTTAACTTTATGCACATTATGATGAGTTTGGACATAGCCAAACCGCTCAAGAAAGGGTTACAATTGCAAAAGGGGGAAGGGGTGACTTTTTTGGTTGATCTCCGTTATAAGAAACTCCGTAGTTTCTATTTCCACTATGGTATTATAGAGCATGCAGAAAAATACTGTCCATTTCCGAAAGGGAAGGTGAAAGGAAGGAAGGGGATCCGTTTACCTTTTGGTCCATGCTCAGAGCCTCCCGAGGTCGGGTGAATTCAGAAGGCAACGAATGGTTTGTCCCAGTAGGGGGTAACATGAACGAACATCTAGGGAATGGTGTGATGTATGGGGGTGTTTTGGATTAGCAGTGGTGGAAGAGGAGGATCATATTGTGGTACTACGGTTCAGGGCAGCAACTACAGTGGGGAACTTAAGCTGGACCATAAGAGGAAGAGGGCTGAAGCGAAGCTTCCTATAGATGCAATTATTGGCATGGAAGTGGACTATGAGACTTCAAAAAATGGGGATGCAACGAGCCCTAAAATTGTGGCTCTCTAGGAAGACTATTAAATATGATGCAGGATTGCAGGGTAAGAGTGAGGATGAAGGATGTGTGGCAGGACATAATAAGACTATTTAATTTTATCATTATTTTTCGTTATTGTGTTTTCTTTTGTTATGACGTATTCTATATTTCAGACACTTTTTTTTTGGATTGGGGTGGGTATTGGGAAGGAAGTGACTTTTGGGGATGAGGCAAGAAGTATTTTGGCTAACAGGGACGACAACGACCTCAAATCTCTCGTACATGCCTGATCTGAGAATGAGGGGGCTTTTCGGTTAATTGATAAGAGGGATATTTTAGTGTGGTGATGTTCCGTGATTGGTTTTTGATTAATAAAGTTTAAGCTTTTTCCTTATAAAAAAACCCGTAAAGACATTGTTGAAGTTAAGTCCTATAGGTCCAAAGGTCCAACACATTTCATTGGCTCTCGTAGGAGTCCGTTTGATTGTGTATTTTGTTTAGTGGGTTTTTAGGGAAAGAAAATAGTAAGAATAAGCAAAGTGGATCCAATTCTACATGAAGTATATAGAACGATTACAACACTTATGCCGAGCGGCGCTTCGACGACCCTCTAGACTAAGTTGAATGCTATTGAGAAAACTAGAGATAAGTTTAATGCTTGAGAATACAAAGTTGTCAACCACTTAAAATGATATAAATGATGCTATTTATACTACTCCCTTCGTCCCTAAATTTTGTTCCATAGTACAAATGGCACAGGGATTAACATAATGTGTATTATTGGTGGAGAGTTATGCAGAGGAGAGAGAAATGTGTGAGAATTGTTGCGAACCACAAATTCTTTACCAAAAGGGGAAAGTGGAAGTTTGTTTTGGGATGCCCAAAAAGGAAAGTTGGAAGTATTATTAGGAATAGAGGGAGTACAAGTTAGTAGGTAGAGGGGATGACGTGTCCGACCCAGAGTGGATGAACCTCTAACCATAAAATCTTCTGTATCTGGTGCATTAAATGCGTGTCCTGCCAACTCTAAAGTTTCCCGTCAATTTCTTGGGGGCGTTTGATTTGAACACCTGTTGAGTTAAGTAGCCTAAATGAGGAGATGAGTTGTGCGGCAATGCCCGTGCGGGCCCGCCGAACGCCTATCCTGAACTGGCTATACTGTCGACAGGCCTACATGTAATTTGGGATTCAATGGATATTTGAGCATGTACTGGGTCGTGCCCTAATATCCCAACACAAGTTTCTCACTTCTGATGTCCCAGGCGTGCCTAGGATATAAGGAAGTGGAAACTCCAATCTTAAGTGCCACATGACTTATTCGTGTGGTTTAGACCATGCAGGTGCTTGTGATGCCTTAACTTTTGTCATTTTCTTCATCTCGTATCTTGAAGCATGGGCGGTGAATGGGCGGCGTTTGTTTGACAGGTATCCGCTGGTTCACATTTTATTGGTTTAGAACTTTTATCAAACACCTAGTACGCGTAAAGGTTCATCCCTAACCTTAGCTAAGGATTTAGCCTCTTGAGCTCATACTAATTACAAAAGAATAAATAAGACAATGGAAATACAATGAAATACAAGACATATTACCTAGAACCGATTGCAGAAGAGAAAATGGTTTCTTCTCCAATTCTTCAAGAAAATGTAAAAATTAAATATAAAAACAAGAATTTAAGCTTCAAGGATGAAATGATTCATTTGTTGATGAATTCAAGGCTTTATATAGGCTAAAGAATGACATCTTTTAGTTTTTCAAAGTCAACATTTAGGCTTAAAGAAATATTTAATCAAATCAATGGGAAAGTGGGGGGTTTCCCATCAAGAATAGACTGCACGTCTCATTGTTTTGTGCAGATTTTGACTAAACTGGCGCCGATTTCAGGCCTAACCAATACCAGAATCCCCCATTAAGCACATAATCCAATACCCTGAATCAGCAGACTATCGTAGGGTTGCTATGATACCACTTAAATGAGAATTTGTCACATCAGGGACTTGTCAAAGACATGACACACTCTACATGCATATATTTGCCATGCAACAACAAAACTAACTAATATGATTATGTTATTGTTGACTAAGTAATCAAGCTTGCATGACATTTCATATAGCTGTGGTGGATTCAAATATGTTTCAACCATATCCCCCTTTATAGTTTGAACAACTCTGTTGCAAATAAAAGTTCTAATCTACATAGAGTAGTGAAAACAACGGTAATTGTGAATACAACTCATATACCCCAAAAAGAATATAATATGTATATATAAGAGGGAATGGATGATACAATTCACACATATTGTTTAATTGAGGCAAAGACTTTTAAGTTCATGAATTGCAGTCTTGGTAAGCACCAATGCTTCATTGATTTTTTAGAAATTTAATTGTTTCATCAAGTACATATGTGACACCCCCACACATTCCAACAACAAAGTTCTGTCTAGTTTTGCCAAGCACAACTACTGTTCCGCTTGTCGTGTATTCACATCCTTGATCACCAACACCCCATACTACTGCCTTACCTCCTGAATTACGTACACAGGATCTAGATCTGCTATCATCCCATTAAAACATGCCTCCCCATTTGTTGCCCCATACATAGCAACATTTTCAAATAAATTATTCTCTTTTAGGTCAAATGTTGCCTCGTACAAAGAGAAGCCAGAAGCAACCCATAATTTAGCATCCCAAACCACCCACTTTGAGGGTTTGAGGGAAGGTGTGGATTTTGACGTAGTTTTACACATCATCGTGATATCAGTTAACCTTTCCACTTGAGACACGGAAAATCACAACTATACAATTCTTTTAGAGAGATACTGCAATACATCTCTAGGCCATACCTGAATTAGTGCCTCACTGCCTTGTGAGAAATCCTTTTAGAGACGACTTCACCAATAATGATCTTTTTGCTTTCAATCAGCCATTTGCGTGCAGCTAGAGGATCGTTCCCATCCTTTTATTCGAATAGAACATATTGTGTCTTTTCGAACAGTTTCTCTATTGCAACTTATTTCTAGAAAGAAATTATTTATTATTATTTTTTAATTTTTCTAGACTTCTTGATTTAGAATTTCAGAGGAAGGCAGTTAGTGAAGGAGGATTGTGTGAGCGCTCTATAAAACTACCGTTGACTTTGGCCAACATCTTCCTAAATTGGCTTGTGGTGCTTTGCCGGCTCTATACAAAGGGGAGGGGCGTGGTACACTGTCACGATTGTTTTTAATGTATTGGTCGACGCTTCAATCCTACAAGTGATATCAGAGCAAAGGTCACGAGTTCGGATCCCAGGTTGGACTCCCATGTGTGGAGTGAAGGCATGTATACCCATGTGTGGTGGCAGATGCTGGGGAGATGGTTGGGCTCTGGCAAGCATCTTCCTAAATCAACGGGTGATGATTCGTTTGCTCTGTAAGGAGAGGAAAGACGTGCTTACACTATCTACGATTACTTTTTTAGTGTAACGGTCATCACTTCGATACTACAAATACTAATTTGTCCATTGTGGACTCTTAAAGACATGGGCTAAATTTGTACTAAGTTGTAGTTATGGTGTTGTTTGCTGAAGCGAGCACACTAACTTGTGCATCTATTGTAATATTTCGTGGGTAAGACTAGAAATTTGTTGAATTAGGTGATCGGAAGACTAAACTGAAATAATTGAATGTTATTGAATATTTTTCTAAATGAGTTCTCAAATAGATTTTTTCTCAAGTTATAAATCTGTATATCTTTATCATCATCATCGTCGTCGTCATCATCATTACCATCATCACTACTATTATTACTACTATTGTTACTATTACTATTATTAACATTGTTGTTGTTGTGGTTGTTGTTACTTTGTTGTTGTTGTTGTTGTTATCGTTCTTGTTATCGGGGCGTGGTTGTTATTGTCGTTGTTGTTATTGTCGTTATTGCTATTGTTATTGTTATTGTTGTTATCGTTATCGTTGTTATTGTTGTTGTTGCTGTTGATGCTGTTACTGTTATTATCATTATTATAACGGAGAATAGTCGTCCTTGAGACGTTTAGTAAGATATTTTTTTGTCATTTTTTCAAACAAATTGATTATTGAATATAAATAAATTAATTTTTTCATTGACATTATAAATTATGAATAATGTTGAATTAATTGTTTTATTCAATTAAGAACGTTTATTCAACATACAAAATAAATAGCGTTATCAATTGTAAAGAGATTTTAATTTAACTTATCAAAATCAAAATTGGTCGTAAAAGAGAGAAATTCAATAGGCCAATTAATATTAAAAAAAAATAGGGCGCATCATCTCAAATTCTCAATATCAAAAGAACTCCCCGCCCGATCTCCCTCTCCCCTTTCTATCCCCAACACCCTTCTTAAGGTACGTTTTGTTCCACTTCCAAACTAAAATTTCTTTAGTTAATCATCGATATGAACTCGTAGGAGTTTTATATTCCAGTGTCATTAAATTTCATTTTGGATTTGTTCCCTACATTCAACTGTGTTTTTGAACGCAAAGCACATGCAGAGGAGGTGATTTTGGGTTTGATGATGACCCGAGACTTCGCAGTGACACGAAATGGTAGTTTCGTAGCCCAGCTTGGAACAAATTCTCTTATACTAGGAGTTGTTTTTTCTTTTACGCAACCCTAGGTCGTGTTAGACTGTTCGTTATTGCTGTATAGTTTTTTCAGAATGCCTGACTGTTGATGTACTCCACACTCTATTAGTGTTTGAGGATGCTAGTAAGATTTGTAAGGATTTTTTAGTATTTTGAAAGATTAAAGTTCCTTGTTTACCTCTCTATAGGTGAGGTTTTATCGAGGACTCAGGGATGAATGGGACTTGATATTATTTTATTATTATTCAATTAGTAATTTTTATTTATTTATTATTCATGGAGATCACTCTTCCTTGAATGTAGTCATGTCGTAAACAAGATTTTATGATTTTCAATAGATTGGTGATTCCTAATGAATCAGATTATATTGAAAATATGAAACTGATACACTTCGCTAAAGAACTAGACAGCTGCAAATTCTTTTTATCCGTTTCCTGCTTAGTCATTACCAATCAAAGACATTGGGCACAGAAAATAAAATTTGCTTGTTTGTAGTTTTAGTCATTTAACAACGCATACATCACACTGATTAAGTTGAATGCAAAGCTTTGCCTTTTCTTTAGTATTTACTGGTTTATTCCAGATGATGTCTAGAACATCTGAAAGTTTGGAAATTTAAATAATATTTTGGCTTTATTGTACTGACTTTAGCAGTTTGGCTAATGATTTTATTGGCCTTCGGATGCTAATAGCCCAAAATGAAGGGTTGTTTGAGTTTTATTGGTATCAATGACTGTCAAATAGTTTTATTGTTATCATCCAACAAGCCCTTCTCTGGTCAAGTCATACACCATGCAACACACAAGAAGCAATTTGAGTTTTATTATTTAGTAATTACTGCTGAGTTTGGTGTTTCTTTTTGTGAATCACAATCTATGACTAGTATCACAGATTATGAAACTATGGAAATATCCAGATATTTATGTTTATCCCATTTTTTATGCATTTAGTTCAATGTTCTGTACTTGTGTTGAATGTATCATGTTTGATAATTCTAGAGTAGTATACATACGGAGTAATATTTTCTTAAGTGCACTTGACATGAGTCAGGCAAGCCTCTTTTTTGCGCCTCAGGCGAAAGAGTACTTTAGTTCCTCTGACCCTAAACAACACACACAATTTGCTCTTTTGGCCTGCCCTAAAAGGCTAAAATCATCCCTCATTTTATGATCGAAAGCATTTTGTGATTCATGTTACTTTCTCCTCAATATAAATTTCAACAATACAGTTTCCACATTCTTAACCTCTGTGCCCTGTCAAAATCCGGGGTTTATTAAGTGATGGAGGGAGTACTATTTTTCTGATGTATTGGTGTTATTATTCCAGGAATAATTTTAGCTCCAATTTGAGCACACCATCATTTTTCGTCACCATGTTATAGTTGGTACTCAAGATATGTCATCAGATACTGCAAAAGAAAATGCATCTGTAGTTGATTCATCCGTGACTGAATGGAGAAATGATAAACGGAAAATGGACAATCCAGGTAAGGCTGTTGTTTTTTCTTTATTTTTCTCCCTTGGTCAATTTTGGTATGTTGACTTATCTACAAGACCCTGGAGTTTGAGTTTTCTTAGTCTGTATTCGTGTATAGCTTGTTGGAGTACTTCCTTTTCCTTTCATACTTACATTTTTGTTTGATTCAATAGAAGCTATGATTGTGTATTCTCGCAAATCACATTAACATCAGCTCTAAAGAAGTTGACAACAGTAACTATATGTCAATTAACTTTTTTTTAGTGAAATAGAGTCACTTCTGTGTTCACAGTTTTTGTTTTCAGCTTGATATTTCATTTAAATATAAAAAATGATTGAAGTAGATAGAAACACATACATGAAAAGGTAGGGCTCCATGCATTTGGCCACATGGTGATGAGTATCCTATCACATATCACTTGATGCAACTTTGTAGCTAGATGTTGATTTATCATCAGAGTCGCACATAAATGGATGGGCACATAGGTTTCAAATTTTTGCATATGCTTAAATAAATTACATAAGTTCAGGTCCTTTTCATGTGCAGTCTTATTTAATGATCGTTAGTTACTTAATAGGTTGTGGCAATTAATCAACATGTATACCCCACACAAAGTCGAATAGCTAATATTTATTTAAATTAGGGAGAATGGTCAAAAATGACACCAACGTTTTTAATAAATCTCGGATTAGACACTTAGGGTTTTTAGTAGATCACATTAACATAGATTCCAACTTATTCGTTGCTTTTTGGCCACTCACTAACATTTCCGTTAAATTGTCGTTCGATGAGGTTACTCAGCTCATTTGATCTGCAAGTTATTAAAGGAGATTCCTTGGTGTATGTTCAACTAAACATTTCCTTTATTTCCCAAACAACTAAACTCTGGAAAATAAATATATGTTCATTGGCTGAATTGAATCATACCTGCTCCAAAAGAAAGTTCACCATTCTGTGATCAGAATTGAAGAAGCTCTCTTGAGGCAACGGCCCATATTCTTAATCTTATGTAACCCTAAGGAAGAAGCTAAACTTGGTGAAACTGATCGAGAAGAACGCAACATGACTTCCGCTGACCCTGATTCGTTAAGCTTTGAAGAAACTAAGCCTCCTTATCCTCCTTATCTAGGATTAGGACTTCCAGGCGTGAAATCCTTGTTGTTAAATAGCTTCTTTCTATCCTTGAAATTTACTGGGAGAGTCATCTTTCTTGGATGCAGAACCAGACTTCGCCTTTTCCTTATCAGTTTGGATTGAAGAGTTCGACCCAACAGAGCATAGGCATAGGCTATTGAATGGGAGGATCCATCTGTGCAGGAAGCATCGTGTTTAGGAAGAGAAAATATCAACCTTTGAACACTATCCTCGGCTGAAGGGTCTGCTAGGTCTCTAAGAGCTCTAAGCATTACGAAGATCAGATGACAGTGGACTAGGAAGGACTGAAATTTTAAATACCCTTTTTACTTTATTTTAAGTTGTTTGAAAATGCTCTAGGTTAGAATTTTAACGGAAATGTTAGTGGTGGCCTAAATGCAACAAATAAGTTAGAATTTGTGTTAATCTGGTCCACTAATAACGTGAATGTCTAATTCGAGATTCATTAAAAACCTTAGTGTCATTTTTGGCCCTTCTCCCTTTAAATTTTGCTGAGATGGTAGAGTCAACACATCCACATTACAGTTGTAGACTCAATAACTTAAGTCTTACTCATGTTAGTTAACACCTTTCCTTTTTTCATTCAAAATCTCTACTGAGACAAATCATTCATAACACATTTCCAGCCTACCCAAACTATAGAGAGAAGGATGACCACTATCGTTCTGATTCTGAAGCAGATTACCATGCAAACTCATGTGAACAGATTGGTATTTCAGCTGAAGTTGGAAATAGAAGGCGGAGGTTGTATAGTACACGCTACTTCATCATCAAGAGTCTGACCCATGACAATTTTCAATTATCTGTTAACAAAGGTATTTGGGCAACACAAGTTATGAATGAGCCTATTCTGGAGGAAGCCTTTCATGTAAGACGCTTGTCTGTTTGTTTTCTTCACTATTTCATTACCATGACCGCTCCCATATTTTTAGAGCTAATTACATTTACCTTCCATTAGCATGGTAAAAAAGGTGTTTTTGAGGCACATCTTGAGGCTTGCTTGATAGCTTCACTGTCAAAAAAAGCCTCGAGTCTTTAGCCTCACTTGGTTGATGGTTGAGGCGTTTTGTTAGGCTTAAACATTGAAGCGTTTTGGGTTGCTTATGCCTCATATTTGTTTTAAGTTTTTTCTTGGCTTATACAACAACATCCACTCCTTAATCCAAAAAGACAATAAATAGATAAGAAAGGCAGAAAAACAAAATCAGATCGATTCATCGATCCTCCATACGTGTACTCTCCCACCACTTTGCTCTCTCCAAAGCCATACTCTCATCTAACTGTAGAAGTACCATATCATTCTTAGTCACTCTAATCCACGTCTGTCTAAGTTGCCCCCTACCTGCCTCCTTTTCCCACCTCTCAATTCGCCTAACAGGTGTATCATTTGGTCTTCTACACACATGATCAAACCATCACAATCGAGACCCTCACAGCCTATCTTTAGGTGTTACTCCCACTTTTCGCCAAATTGTCTCATTCATCAAACGTTTTTTTAGTATGTCCACACATCAAAGCAGCATGCACATCTTAGTTACATTCATCTTGTGAATGTAATAATGTATAATTATTTCACCGCCCAACACTATGTCATACAATAATGCAGGCCCAATTGTTAAATAGTCCATGAGCTTTGGACAAATTATCAAATGACCTCAGGTCTCTACATATTGCAAATAAGTCCCCTGGTTATTCAAAATATCCATAACTGAACTGAAAGTTGATAGGATAAATTAATATTATTTGGAATCGAGTTTATTTGCACTAAATTCCCACATTGGTTCAGAAATTTATTTTTGAGAAAGCTTCAAATATTTTAGCTGATAAAATGCACTCAACAAAAATAAAATCCAAGCCTTAGTCCCAAAAGAGTTTGGGGTCGGCTAACATAAATTGACACATGAAATTGGAGCTAAAAAGATAAGAAATATATTAAGATAAGATAAGATAAAAATGAGAAAAAGATAAGATAAAGATAAAAATGATAAGATAAAGAGGATAAAAAATAAGATAAAAAGGATAAAGAAGATAAAAAAATAAAAGGATAAAAATGATGAAAAGAGATCAATCCTCCACACGAATATTCTCTCCATTTTATGCATATTAATGACAAAATGCATTAATAACACAAAATTTATCTCAAAGTTGCAGACTTGAAGTCTTGTAAATACTTAATATTATCACGTTTTAGTTTAAAATGAGTCATTTGTAGAACATTTGATTGATGAAGGGGCTTATTTGTAATTTTCATAAACCTCAAGAATTATTTAATTATTTGACCAATCTGTTTACTACCAACTTTTAATCGGCACATACAATTCCGCTGCAGAATTCACGGAAGGTCATTCTAATATTCAGTGTCAACATGAGTGGTTTCTTCCAAGGCTATGCACAAATGATGTCATCGGTTGGGCAGAAACGTGATCGAGTATGGGGCCAAGGAAGTGATGGGCGTAATCCTTGGGGTCGAACCTTTAATGTTAAATGGTTGCGGTTGCATGATTTGCCTTTTCAAAAGACTCTTCATCTGAAAAACCCCTGGAATCAGTACAAACCTGTTAAAATTAGTAGAGATTGTCAGGTTCTACTGCTATACAAGCTTTTGCAGCTGTTTGCGTGCACGTATTTTTGTCATCCAAAATCACCAAGGATTAGAATATGTGACTGTTGTCCTTATATTATTGTAGGAGTTGCATCCAGATGTCGGTAAAGCTCTGTGTGAACTCCTTGATGGAAAAGATGTGTCTGATGTTAATATTAAAGTGTACAAGCTTCCTCGATCTTGAATAGTTTTGCTGTGCAAAAGCCCTTTTTCAAACACAACACACACACACATAATTATGAGGTCTGCATCCGGTGAGAAGGGTATCAAGGAAAAATGAGAATAAATCTTAACCCTTTTTCATCAATTTGGTCATGGATGGAGTAGTAGTGTAGTGCAGTTTTTCCTAAAAATGTGGTGGCATAAGCATCAATATGTGAAACTTTAATGTGCAGTGGTTAAAGCTTGAAAGTGCACCTTGTTATAATTATCATATGCACTATGTATCTATCCCTGATGCAAATTATAACTTTTGTGTATATGTGGGCTACTATTGCACTTCTTCAGTAATGCACATTCGTTTTGAACACGGGTGCACTTTTTACATGTACGAAATTGCATTGTTATGTATACAATTATGCAATTGTCATGACTGAGTGTGCACGCTAAACTTTTGACATATTTAATAAATTTCCTTGCATTTTTCATTAAAAGCTCTCATTATTTACATGTATGGGCCATCACATTTTTCTTTGAAAAGTGATATCATCCGTCCATTATTTAGATCAATGACCAAGAATTGTTCTCATTTCTTTCATAAGATCAACTTCTCATCTGAAAATATGTGTGTATATTTAAATATATGGTACAGCAGAAATCCCTGTTTTCATATTCATGTTTCTCTAGGCTGCTATTGGTGCTTGCAGGGACAATTTTTATTGGGGTGACCACTCAGTTAAAATGCCACATGTAGAGCATTCAGTGCATTCAAGAGACGGAATCTGTAATATGCCGCTGATGCATATGGGACCAATGATGTATTCTTCTTTAACTTACCAGCACCACACGAATATGTTTCATGCAGAACATCATGATTCAGACAGTATGTTTCTACCTTGGACTTAATGTTCTCAGGGAAAGAAATAGGACCCTCACAAAATATATTTATGAGGGCCCACATTATTCTTAATTTGATTTTTGGGTCTCTCAGGTGAAAGTCCTCTTGCTAGTATTCTTACTACTCTCACTGATGATGATATTATTGACATGGTACGTGCCCATCATTTTATAATAGAGCACCTGAGTATGTCATTAGGAACAAAAGATAGTCCTTAGTTATGTACTCATGTTATAATTTTAATTGTGAAATTTATATCATTAGAAACAAAATATAGCCCTTAGTTATGTATCTCTGTTATAATTTTAAGGCGAAATTCACAAGAATAATCCATACTTTTATGAGTTCTACAATAATAATCCTTATTGTGAATATCCATAAAAATAATCCGTACTAGCAATAGTGTCCATAAAAATAAATTAGAATGAATTCAAATTAACGCCCATTTGATACTTTCAACCCCTACCCATTGATATTAAATGAGTTTTAGTTTGAATTTGTCCCAATAAGAAGAACCAGCGGGAGAAAAGTGGGAGTAAGGATTGTGAGTACTGAACGGACATTAATTTGAATTCACCCCAATTTATGCTTATGAACACATTTGCTAGTTTGGATTATTTTTGTGGACAATGTGAGCAGGGATTATTATTGTAGAATCCCTAAAGGTAGGGATTATTCTTATGAATTTCACCTAATTTTAATTCTGAAATGTAAACTTTTAAATGTTTTAGTGTACATTATATTGTCTACTAAGTCATTCTATTGAATATTGATACTTCAGGGTTTAGGTCATATTTCTTATGTTTGGGATGTTTGAGTGTTTTGTCAAAAATATTTTTAATTTTTATTATAATAATATGTATAAGAGTTTGATGCCTGTGATGGGAATTTGGGGAGAGAATGAATCAACTTGAGACTTTTGGTGTTGATTCTACAGTAGTGTATTGGAATCAGACTTCTTGACTGTTTCAAAGTTCTACTCTATTGTAATGAGACTTTAGAGGAAGGCAGAGTGTCCAATGAAACTAATGAGCTTTAGATTGCAGAATCATGTTTCGGATTTTTGTGGCAACACTAAAACTTATTCTTCTAACCTCTGGTGCTTTTATAACAGACTTCGTTTCAAGAAGATAAAACAAACATCTCTTGGTAAACAACAACAACATCAAAGCCTTAGTCACAAAAAATTTTGGGGTCGGCTAACATGAATCAATACATGATATCGGAGTCAAAAGGAAAAGAAAGGTAAAAAAGATAAAAAGATAAGGAATGATAAAACCAATACAAAAAATAAGATAAAGGTAAAGATAAATACTACGTATAAGATAAAGATAAAAATGATAAGATAAAAAGGATAAAAGGAATATATGTAAAATAAAAAAGATAAAACGATAAAGAACATAAGAAAGATAAAGAAGATAAAAAGATTGAAAAGATGATAAGAGATCTGCCTCCACATGAATATCTGCCCCCGCTTTGCTCTCTCCAAAGTCATACTCTCATCCAACCCAAGAAGAAGCATATCACTACTGAGTCCTGACTCCTTTAATCCCTGCTGTTTGGGTCTACCTCTCCCTCTCCTCCTTGCCTCTTATCCACACCTCTCAACTCGTCTAATAGGTGCATCACTCAGTCTTCTTTAAGCATGACCAAACCACCTTTTAGTAAACGAGTGTGTAAAAATATCTTGTCACTGGATTCGGTGGTATAATGTTATCATGCTCTGATAACTTGACCCCTGTTCTTTCGCTGATGATTTAACCTTATTTGCTGGCTGTGTATCTAATGAGAAATAATCCATTTTTGCTCCTTTTTTTACTTCTAATCACATGTTGCAGACATATGAAGAGTACCTTGAAGCCCATAGCAAAGGGTCTGGGAACAAAACAATACGGAATCATGTTAGTCTGTTTCTCACATCTTCTCTTACATTTCTAGATGAATAGTTTTGTTCATGGAAGGATAATGTGAAAATCTATTATATCAATATAGCTCATGTTAATGCATGCTTTATTGTTACTCCTTTAATTAAATTCCTCACATCACGTCTCATGCATATTTATAATTCATGAAACCCGCTAAATTTTTATGTTTCTTGTGTTTGAACTGTTTATATTCAAATTTCAAACTGACTCCTTCGTTGAGTTTTGTAATTTTTGTGTATTCATTCAGCAGGTGAAGACGTGAAGTGTAGGGTTTCCAGGAAATTGTTTCCCTTGAAAACGAGTTGCTCTATGTATAAATATTTGTCCAATCTTGCAAACATTGGAAAAAGTTAACTGCTTTTTTAAAAGTTAAAACAACATGGAATATAGTTTTCTTCATGAAAATGTTTTCAGCTGTCATGCACACGAAAATCCAGATCTCAGAAAAATATTAATCCTGGAAACCTAAGTTATCAGTAATTGATGCTGTCCAGTTTTTTTAGCGAGTCATTTTCATGATCTTGCTGTTTACTTAGCTTGTTTATCAAAAAGAAAAGGGCGGGCCGGTGCACATTGGCATCCCCGCTGGGAGAGGGGCCGAGGAAGGGTCCCACCACAAGGGTGTAGAAGGGATAAGCCTTTTCTTGTCATTTTGACTAGAAGTCGCTTCCAAGTCTTTAACTTGTGACTTCTCAGTCACAGCAACACCATAACCGGTGGACCAAGGCCCCCCCTGTACTTGATTATCAGATTAAGAAAAAATATGTAACAAAGGGGAGGATAACGAGCTTCATGTTTGCAGAAAAAATTCTATCCACTTGTAAACTCATTATATTTAAGCTACTGGTGCTCCAACCAGTGTTGTCAATAGCGCGCTGTAGCGGCATAGTGGAGTGGAGGAAGGGTTGGGGGCAACAAGGCACCTGTAGTGTCGCGTTTGACTCTAGCGGGAGTAGCGGACGCTATAGCGGCACTATTTTCTTTTCTTCACTGCACTAAGGGTTTTTCTGGGGTAAGATTTGTTTTCAGAGGTATGAAGGGTAAAGTAGACTTTTTATAATAAATAGTCACCACTGTAAAACCCTTTTATGCATTACTGTTGCGACTCACACCTGATACGATGACAAAATATCTGGTTCTCTTCTTCAAGAACAAGTGAACGACCTCTGCAGCTTCATCTTCTACAAGAACGACATCTTATGTTTTGTTCATGGCACAGAGTATTTTGTTGGTAATTTAGGATTTATGAATGTCAAGATGTTTGTTACTTTCAGTGACATAAATTATGTTTTTTAATTTGATGTGCATACAATGTAATCATAAACATTCATATCATATGTATTTTTCATATATATATATATATATATATATATATATATATATATATATATATATTCTCTGAATAGCGGTCATCCTGCTATCTACTATACCGCTATAGTGTTTTCAGGGCTGGCCACAACGCTCCGCTATCCAGGATTGACAACAGTGGCTCCAACCGAAAGTTGTTTATATAAACTTAGTGAGAATGCACTGAAAGAAATGCCTTAAGTGTCTTAGTTTCTGTCATTTATTGGTTTGCCTTGGAGAGAGACTATGTGCACTATATCACCACTCTTTAGTCCCTAATGTAGGGAATGTATGTCAGAATGAGCAAATCATGTAATCTGTAACAATATTAATGATATACTCTTGTGTATTTTCATCTCTTGTCAGGTTTCAGGGCAAACAGGGAGTACACAACAATCATCCATCAGCAAAGAAAACTGTGATGAGTCGTAAGTCTATTGCAATTCTCTAAAATAATACATTATTTAAAAGAACTGAAGGGCGGGTTTGGTACAACTAGCAGAGTTCTCCACTGAACCAGACCAGCTGGTTCCCCGCCATTGTTACCCTTTAGTGGCCCCTAGGACCGGTCTGGAACCAGTGACTGACCATTTGCCAATGTGGGTGCGGTTCATATCTACTGGGACAGGATCGACTGGTTTCGGTCTACATTTTTTTAATTAGCTGAAATGCAAAGGCCACTTCAGTGGCAATCCGCGGCTATATAAAAAATTTTATGGAGTAGCATATGGCTTCCTTATGGAGTCATATGGATATATGTGGCTGCTCAATAACCATTCATTTGTATAGTGGAGAGTCTCACTTTAAAAATGAGTGGATATGAGGTGTCCACCTATGCCATATGACTTCATAAGGGATTCATATGCTACTCCATAAAATTTTCCACAGCTATATTGCCATTTGGAGACTTGGACAAGAGCGTAGGAAATTTGCAAATGGCCAATTCACTGGTGCTCCAGTGCAAGCTCAATTTATTTCTTTGTTATTGAATGTAAAATGTAATAAATGTAAATTATATGTTTATAGTTGTATATTTGTAACTTTATAAGTTGTTAGTTTCTAACTTTGAAGTGTTCATATAAAATTATACGTTGCACATTTGTAAATGGTAAAGTTGTTCTGCGACATTGTTTTAAAAGATCAATTCAATAAAATACTGAGCATTATTTTACCATTATTGTTTCAAGTTCCTTTTTGCACTTGTTAAGATAAAAAGAAATTCCAAACAACCTATCTGCGATCAGCTGAGAACTGAGGCTGTTTTCAGACCCCTTGGTACCCACGGTTCCACTCTACCTAGGTTTCAGAAAGAACCTACAGGGTTTGAATCAGCCTCCTTCCAATAAGCAATTGGTAGGGTGGGATCATGTGATGGAATACTTCCTTCCTGAGGCCCTCCATTTTGTGGGAGCTTCTGGAATGGGTACAGTTCCCTTTTGAACACAATTGGGTTTACACAACATTTTCTTTAATGATTTAGTATGTATTTTCATTTCGCAGGCAGTCGGGCTGCAGCTCGAAGAAGAGTTGTCAACGCCATTCTAATTCCTGATTATGTTGTATTGTATTCGCCAGCAAGTAGTTGGATCAGCAGTTAGCCCCAACCACCAAAGTCCATTCCTCAAAATTAGAGGTGAACCGTGTGTGCCGTACTATAGTGTAATATTTATTGTATTCCGTTATTTCCGTACTATATGCTGTAAGTCTGTTGAACCTTTCTGGAATTAAAAATTTGTATAGCTTAAAGCTTTTCGTAAGTATATTTTATTTTTATCTTTTTGGTTTAGTAGATTGCTTGAATTTTCTGTGCAGAAGTAGCACACTTTCCAAAATTTTGAAAGTACATTTGTTATTATGTCTGTGCTTCCCATTAATAAAAAAAAGGATGACGCCCCATCCCTGAAGGCCCCCAACCTCGACCGGACGGTACATCGGGAGGGTGTAAATTGGACTATAATCCCAATCTGACAGATAGAAAGTAAGACTACTGTCCCCGGTACTTGCAGAGGCCCTATGCATTTTTAGCATAGTAACCCCTCATCGCAGTTGTCGGTATTCAAACCTAACCTTTGTGACACTCCCTTTCTACCAGTTGAGCTACGCCCACCGGGAGTGCTTCCCATTAATTGTTCCCATTAATTGAGCTACGCCCTATGCATTTAAGTGTTGTAATGTTTATGTTTTACTTTGGAAATACTCCCTTGTTCTCATTCTAAGGTTCCTACTTTTCTTTTTTACATGTTTAATATAGAAGTTCTTATTTCTATTTTAGAAAATAATTAATATTTTTAAATGACAATTTAATAATCAAATATAAAAAATAATGTGTATGTAACATCATAATTATCATCCATAACTTCTTAATGTTATATACTCATCAAAATTATATAACAAAATATACTCTAATTATCTCATTTAATTATTGTCTAAATAATTGTACGGAGTATTATTTTGCGATGACAACTTTTGATGTCTAAATAATTGTACTACAGAGGTAGTATGTTTTTTCTCATGTCTTCTCAAAGTAAATGACACAAAAAATAGTCGATTAGAAGTCTCATTTAATTTTTAAAAATCTTGAAAAATTATCAACAAACGGCAGTGTTGAAACCAGCACGGAGTGACATTGAGTCTTTCACTCTCACGGAGGTACAAGGTTCAATTCTTTTTTCAGTGCCAATTCATTTTTTAAAAACTTACTATGAGGATGTTTGTATTTGATTCTTAAAATTGTAGAAGTTGGAGTGTTTGGGTGAAAGTAGAGGTGGACTCGGGTCGGGTGTCCCGACTCGGAACCGGCCCGGAACTGGCACTGGGGTGAACCGGCTTGGCCCGGTGGCCCGGCCATTGACCGGTCCGGGTAGGCCCGGCCCGGGGGTTCCCGGTGCGGGCTCGGGTCACACAAAAGCCGAACCGGCCCGGTCGGTTCGGGCCCTATTTCGGGCTTTTTAATTTTTTTTCAATTTTTTTTAACTTTTCGGGTTGGACTGGGTATTTTGGGCCATTTGGGGTGGTTTGGGGGTTGGGGTGGGAGGGGGGTTAATTAGGAAAAGGAAAGAAAATTGACCCGAGGCCCAGCCCGACCTGGCCTGTCCCGAACTCGGAATGGACTCGGTGGCTACCCGAGCTGGTCCTGGGCCCACCTATTCAAAACCGGCGGCCCGCCCGGGCCTAGGCCCGACCTGGCCCCGGCCCGGCCCAAATCCACCCCTAGGTGAAAGTGCATAAGTACTTTTGGTGCTCTAATTTACTTCTAGAATCAGTGTTTTTAAAAGTTTGGGAGACCAGTTTCTGAAAACAGATTCTGATTCTGCTTCTAGTTAAAAAAAAAGCAAAAGCATAATCAGTTTCAAACACAGTGCCGAGTTCGGGTTTCGAGTTCAAACTGCCTCCATGACACAGTGCCGCCAGAGTCAATGCGACCATCACTCCACCAGGCGCCACAGACGGGGCATTGAACCAGTTCGGCCGACTAGAGTCACACGTGCACATGCGCATGCCCAAGTTTTATTGTTTTACCCTTAAATACTTCATTTTATTTGGATGGATGATTAAAATTCCTTTGAAAAGATTACCATTTCCATTTTCATTTACCCCAGTGCTGCAAAGGCTTCCACCTACGATGGTGTAAAGGAGGTCGGGTGTACGCAGTCTTACCCCTGTACTAAAGTACATATAGACTATTTCCGAATGATGCATAGTGAAAATCGCGTCCAAAATTGCATGGACTGACTGTTGCTCCATAACAAAGAAGCGCAGACAGTTTAGTGAATCATTTTGCTTTATTCTATCATAATCTCAAGCCAAAAAACAATGAATCTTTGGCTCCATTGCAAATGATGGAAAAAGATTAAATTATTAAATTTATGTATTTATGAATGTTTTTCCTAACAAATGAAACCTAAGAGGGTACATTTGTGGAATTGTAGAATGAATTTTAAATGTTATTTTGTGCATTATACTACCGTAATGTTTTGATGATGTACATTAACTATGAAACATTAAGCTTCTTTAATATTTCCTTTTTTATATTAATTAGAGTTACATTATATTAGGGATCCCATGACTCTGTTTTTCTGGGTCCGCCACTGGTTGCTAGGTTTATCAACGATAATAGCTGTTTAGAGATTTAACTATGGAGTTAAAAGGAGGAAAATAGACGTTTGCTACCTGAAACTATACGGGGTCAACTTTGAATTACTGCTTCGTAATCTCTAAATATTAAGATTCCATTCTTTTGAAAACTTGAACATCCTTTTCGCTTACTTCAATGTTTTGAAACAGGCTCAACCGCTCAACAAACTATCTTCACATATACGAAGTACTTCTTTGCGCCTATGAGATATAGATACTTTGTGCAAATGATTTGCACGTTCGGCATTTACCCAATCGCGCAATGCGTATAAAATAACTGGTAATAAATAAAAACAAATGATCCCAAAGATATAGTTTCACTCGTTCGGGTTTTTACACTCAAGAGTAAAGTATATAAATTTGATTTTTAAGAGGTTTTTCCTTAAATATTACTAATAAAATTATCGTGGACAAAAATGTAACTTAGTAAGTATTAGTGACTATAATTGTGTTCAAAGTTTACATCAGAATAACTTACATTTAATTACTACGATGTAAATTTTGAACATTATTGTAGTCACTAATAGTTACTAAGTAATATTTTTGTCTATCACATTTTAAAGAGTAATATTTATGGAATGTTTTGTTTTTTAATAGTAGAAGGATGTATTGAGAGGTTTGACAAAATTTGTACTTCCTATACTTTCATATATGTTTTTTATATAACATCTTCGTAGGACATATATGTTTATGTTTATATTATAATTATACATGTATTTCACTTTCTTTTAAAATAATTCCGTTTTTTATATATTTAAATAATCAAATTTACTAAAATACAAACATCTAATTGTTTCGTGCATTGTATGTGCACAATACTAATTTTAATAATAAATGTGTATAAAGTTAAAGCATAAAAGTTGTTAAAGAAAAGAAAAAATCATGAGAAAAATAAGTACAACCGATCAATGAAAGGAGTAGCTGCAGAAAAGAAAGAATAAGAGAAACAAGGGACATAATTATCTCACGAGCTACAACTAATTATTAAAATACTGGTTGTATCATGCTTTTGATACAACCGATTGTATCGTATAATTTGTGAATTCACCACCCGTGCTCTAAAAAACAAAACACACAAGTTTCTAGTATTGAAATTGGCCGATGATTTATTCCTATTTTGAGTTTTGGCCTTCTGGGTAAATTCTTAGTAAATTCTAGGGGTAGGGTTCGAGGTAGGGGTAGTGGGATGGGGGCTAGGTACGCGTTAGGGTAGGGGTATGAGGACGAGTACGGGTACGGGTGATCACCGCGTACTCCCTCCATCCTTAAAACTTTACCAACTTTCCATTTTTTGTTTGATTTGAATTGATCTATTTTGGTCTGGTAAATGTTTGGTCTCAGTGTATTTTATAAATCATACGTCCTTTAATGTCATTTCGTATTATCTCTGTAATGTTTCAACTCTTTTTGCCAAACATGTCTGTCTACTCTACTCAGTTAAGATTCAGCACTTCAAAGTTCAGCTCCGGACAACAATCCCTGGTTCAAACAATAGCTCATATTTCAGACATTAACCTCCAGTTACAGCTCGTTATGCCAAACATAGTCTAAGTCTGGTTTGATCTTGTCTGATCTGAAATCAAAACAGATCAAAACAAAACACCCTTAGAATGTGATTCTTAAAACTGACTTCTACTTCTTTAAAGAGCAACTGCAGAAATTAAAGTATTTGAGTGAAAGTGAAAAAATAGTTATGCTCTAGTTTGTCAAAACTGATTCTACTTGAAGCACAAGTAAATAGTTCCAAACACCCGTAACCATCCTAAACCAAAACCTAAATCGGATCTTAAACGTCCCGTCTTCTTCAACGAGACCCTGACTGTGAAATTGCTAAAGCTTAGCCCTAATTTACTTGGAGCTGCTGCTCTTCTTAATCCCCGAATTGCTTCTGCAAACACAATTTGCGACATCCATCATTAAGGCCGTTTCAAGTGTTTTATATTGCGTGGTGAAGAAGAATGGAGAACGGTGGTTTTAATCGGGGGAAAATTAATGCAGAAGATGTGATATCAAAGATCAAGGAAGACGGAGATTTCGATCGACTCCGTCTTAAAGTTGTCCGAAAAGTAAAAGATGATGTGAGTATTTGTACCAACACACCAATATTTTTCTGCGAGTTGATTTACTTCGATACCCTTTTTATTCATTTATTCGCCGCAATCAAATTATCAGTTTGGTTTCAGTTCTAACTTCTAAACTGAAAAGCAGCATTAATGGTTTCAAATATCTGGGAGTACTAAAACTACTAAGGCATATATTAGATGAGGATGACAAGTTACTCGATTATATATTTAAAAGTTAACAATGTGCTTTTAGAAACTAAAATGGTTTTCATTTAGCTGTATATGTAGAGCATGAGGCAAATGCAAATGTAGGATCCTTCCTTTTCTGAAGTCCGTGAGTGATACTTTGGACAGGCAAATGAGAAATAGTGAAGCCATACATGATGGCGGGGATTGTAGGCACTAATTTTAGTTTAAATGCTATAAATAGTTGACGAATGTGTCCAAACTCCAAATTATGGTCTAGGGAAGCAGTTTAAGTGGAGTTGATTGATTATCTCTATTTTTCTTCTGATATCTTTGAGATTTGATATTCAGTAATCAGCATTACTTTTATTTAAATGTAAATTCTACGATTCAGATGTAGAGTTAAACCCTGAATTTAGAGGAAGGTTGGGTGTGTATTCATAGTTGATGAAATGAATAGTACATCTAAAAATATATTCTTGTCATGATGAAACTGTTGTGTTGATGCATCCTTCTTGTACTTCAGTTCTGCAATCACTTTGTCTTTATTTTTAAGCACAGAAGTTCATGTTTTTGGGGTGGATTTTTCCTGGAGCTCTTGTTCATCTGGAAATCAACCAGGGTTGGATAGAAAGTCGAGTAGGGAAAACTGGAGGGTATCTTGTTTTTTTTCTATCAATGTTCTATTGCATAAAACATCCAATAGCATGGAAACTCATTTCACGCTGTCTGCACAAAGGGAAATGTTGCTAACATATCTAAATTCATTATACTAAGTACTGACTATTGAGCAACAATTTCATCTGATTAATGATCTAAAATTCTCCCTTAAATGAAATGTTTATTTTCTCAAGGTAGTATAGTTTTGGTTGAAGGGGAGCCTTGGTGCCGGTTACGGTGTTGCTGTGTGACTGAGAGGTCAGAGGTTCAAGTCTTGAGAGCACTTCTTTTCAAAATGACAAGGGAGGATTTTCCATTAAACACCCTTGTAGTGGGACCCTTCCCCGGACCCTCTCCTTGCAGGGACGCCATTGTGCACCAGGCTGCCTCTTTTTTTAGTACTAGCTCCACCTCACTAACATTGGGACAGGAGGAGGTGGTGCGGTTATTAAGAGAAGTTGATTTATGTGATTGACATTGAATTGATAAAATAAGAATAAAGTAAGAATGACTTGGACTCGCACAAACTTTACCAAATTTGGTATGAAACAATCTTAGTAGGACTAATTGAAAAAGAGATGGTACGATCTTAGCGGGATGGTGGGAGTTTTGTTCTGGTTGAATTTGATGAATGCTTTTGATGTAGATAGAGCACTTCAAGGGATGTAGTTTTTTATTTTATTTATGGATGCTCTTGATGTACATAGAATACTTCAAGGGATGTAAGTTTTTTCAAATTTCTGCTTAAGGAGACTGGATAAATTCATAGTAAAATAAAGAAACCAGCCTCTTTGTTTTGTTTTGTCTTTGTTTTTGGTTATAGTAACAAATTTAAATCTAAAGGCAATTCTATGCTCCCATTATCCAATTGTGCCCGAAAAACAAAAGCTGAAGGACTGATAAGTAGAAGTTAATGGCCAACATTGAATGTGTTTCTTATGTCAAAGTCGTTAGAGTCAATGGCCTTGTCTAAGCAGAAGTTAGGACTTAGGATTGATACTACACCAGTCCCGTGCAATTATGTTCTCTTCGCACAGGTCACTTGGGTACATTTTCTCATATGTGTATCTTCTACGTAGTAATATTTATTTATGATTCATTTCATGGTTTAGCTATATTCTGTTGTACATAAATTTTCCTCCCCCTCCTCCCCCAATCAAAATAAGAGCAAAGAATTGGATGTGTCTTGACTATATCAAGCTTTTTTATAGGAGGAATTGCGTAATAACATTATGTCAGCTGTGAGGCAATCAAAAGCACTTAACCATCCAAGTGCCAAAAGATTAAAACCAAGGCAACTTTCTGATGCCATATATGAAGAGGTTGGGTAAGTTGCTAAGTTTTGTGGTTTTCATTTTTGAGTTAAAATGTGTTTTATTATGAAGGGTTTGAGTTAATTCTTGCTGAACAATTATTTGGGGCAAATATATCATGGTTGTAACTTGTAAGACATTTTGACTCACTCGTATAGTTTGATTAATCATATGGTAGCATGAGGATTCAGTATGAGGGCACCATTTCCTCCTAAAAAGTGCCCACATCCCACAATTTAGTCAAAACCTAAAATAAATTTAAAGTCAAGGTTGAAACAGATTTTCAATAGCTGTACAATGGAGAAACTTGACTATTTTGAATGGAGGTGTTATGTTTTTGCAATTAGTTATTGAAGGAAAAACTAAAAAATAGACGCTCATATGCTCTATAATAACATTTTCTTGTTTCGAAACATAGGACAAAAGTCATGAGTGAAATTTCTGATAATATCTGGAAGGTAATTAGATCTGTGGATGGCATGAAGAATGAAATAGCAGAAACAGTACAATCTGTTTGCAAAAGGTTATTAAACCCAAATGCTAATCAAGAAGGTCAAAAGTCTTCCAAGGAAAACTTTGAGGCAGATGCGAAGGGACTTGGAAGTAACAGCAGTACATGTGCAGTCAATGGTACACTATCTGATAATGTGCCAAACAAACCTCATGACGAGAAAGTTAGAGATGAATCTAATCTAGAGGCCCATTGCTCAGGGCGTCCTGTGGGTCTCAACAAAGAAAATGGTGCATCTGCACCTTCTCCTGGATTTCCAGAAGCCGTGGATACTAATCACCCAGCTGATCGCATTGATGAAGACCCCGATGTACCCCCAGGGTTCAGTTAATGCTTCTATCCCTATTCTCCTCCACAAGGTATTATTAGTTGATACCATCATGTTGTCGTTGTATCGGTTATGAACTTATGATAACCGAGGTCACATGTTCAAGTTTTGTGATGATTTGACAAAAAAGTTTAGTTTTAAACTCGAAGCTTATCATATGAAAATTATTCATAAAATTTAATCACATTTAACCAGTTTTGTGTTATATATACTTATTATATGGTGCTATAATTGTATGCTTTTATTATAAAATAAAATGATATTTTGGAAGTTGTAAAAAAATCATTTCGAAAGCATATGTCTGGACAGTGTTCATGCTTCATCCCGTTGCAATCTTCCTATAGTGCTGTAGTTCTATTTTATTTGTATTTGATTTCAATTCGAGAAGACTGTTTTAATTTGGGGAAAAGTGGGTCAAAATCATACCTTCGGATGATGTATTCATGGTTAAACCCGTTTTTTACAAAAAAAATGCCAATCGCATATCCATGTTACTATTAGCCAGCTACCACATAAGCGTATCGCAGGCTTATCTGAATTGAATCTTCAAACATTGATTGTTTATCACCACCACACTAAAAAACGACTAGCCAATTATCTTGATTATTATTTATCCTTTAATTTGGCCAAGGTACAACTGTTTTTAAATTATAATAAGGCACAACTGTTTTACATTATAATAAGGTAAAAGTAATAAATCTTGAAAACTGACATTGTTTGTAAATTTTATGTCACTTTTCTGATTTCTTTTGGAAAACTATACTACGTATGTAAATTTAGTTTCGGTATCAAATATGACTTTTTCTTGGGGCAAGCAAGTAACCAGGTATCTCTCTCTTTAGGTCTGAGAGAGTAATGTTTTCAACCATCCCTGAGTTTTGTCGTATTTTTTAATTATTGATAAGATCTTTTCAAAATAAATAAATGAATATCTGTACCGCCTGTACGGAATTTAGTGTAAAATAATATAAACTTATCATGTGTAGAAATTTTATACTATGTATGAATGTGGTCATATGTATGGACATGGAATGATGGAATTACAGGGTCTTCACTCTGTTAATTTGCAATTCAAATTGTAATTGGCTTTTTTAGGTATCGTTGTTGGGATGCACAAACCAAAATGTATTAATGCACCAATGCCTGTTGATTGCTCCAATACTACAATAGGATTTCGGCACCAAGGTATAATAAGCAGATAACATTTTCTTTATTTCATTTCAAGCATTGTGCCTGTTGCTTTTTGTAGTGTGCTTTACCGTGTTTCCAAATTTTTCCAACAGGCAAATCACGTTGGATAAGGAAGAATGACAGTCAATGGATGAGCGTCCACCCTCTGTGATCACTACGTTTGATAAGACATGTAATTGCATGTAGTTTAATGTCGTGCTCAAAACTGGTTTTTGAAAATTCTCACCAAAATGAAGGCATGAGCATGGCCTTTATTAATCCCACGTTTAAAATGAGAGATAAAATGAGACTCACATTAGTATAGTGCTCTTTTCTATCTTCTTTTAGTTTAACCCCGTCTCTAAAAGTTTTGCCAACTTCGACCTACACGTGGACTAACAAAATAAAAACTGTATTCAATGTCACAATGTGCACGGTGCACATGTGATATGAGAGATAGATACATAAATATTAATGAGAAATATATATCTCTCCTTATTTGAAAGGTCTTATATGCTTTAGGTAAAATTTTCTCCACATTGTCTAGATGTAGACATAGTAGTTGACATTCTTGTGAAAAAGTCAACAAAATTATATAAAACCGTGGAAAGAGAAATGTGAATGATTTGTGTTTCTGTTTCTATCTCTCTCAGGTCACATGTATTGTGCACATTCTTGCATTGGAAATGGTCTAAGTAATCATAGTTATTTTAAAGGGAATTGCATTTTGGGATTACCTAATAGAAAAATATGGCAAACCTGTTTTACTGAGAGATGAATGAAGTATTTAAATTATGGTTATATTTTTAATATATAGATAGCACTCATTATTGTTTTTGTTTATTTGTGGTTTGAAATAGAGTCGATGAGTGTAGATTTGATGTTATTTTGGCTTGTTTTTTAGCTTCACATTGATCCATTTTGACTTGCAAAAGGCATTGTTGACAATAATTATATTACAGTAGCCCTAGTAGCCTTTTCAATTGGACTGACTAAATTTGAGGCTTTTCTTTATTGAGCTTAGTTGAGGCTTTTCTCAAACGAGATTTGCTTGGTGTACACAAATTATGTACATGTTTCCCACACTTGTCTGTGTACATAAATAACTCCTGCACTTTTTTGGACGAATTACTTGTGTGAACAGGTAAAATAGGGTGTAAAAAGTACAAAAACTTGTACAAACTTGTATATGCATCGCAAAGTTTTTGATTACCCCCCTTTCCTTTTTCCGTTTCTTATCTTTTCATTTTCCATTTTTGTTCATTTTTAATTTTCTAGCTCATAATCCTAGAACTTTCTCCTGCCATTCTCTCAGAAATTTGGTTACATGACTTCAATTTCATCTCAAGTATAAAAAAGGGAAGAATATTTCGTGTCATCTTGAAGGGAAGAATATTTCGTACGTTGCTAAATATTACATGTAATCATTGCTACGCTTGCAAAATATTAACTATTGGGGCAAATTGATGTATACAATTTAGAAAAATGAGTGGTGCACACCTTTTGTGTACACACGTCTGTCCCCAGCTGACGAGTTTTCTGTCCACAGAAAACTCTATAGAGTTTTCTGTGGACAAACAACTCGTCTACTGGGGACAAACGTGTGTACATAAAAGATGTACACAAAAGGTGTACACCAAGCAAAGTTATTGTCACTATACTATCAAGTGAAGGCATTGTCACTTGAGAGGTAGACAAGGTGTGTAATCATGGCTATGAAAGGTCTATGTTTTTATTCCATAAATGTGTGTAATCAGTAATCATGTCTATGTTTGGAAAACATTATCAACCATCATTGCTTTATCTACTTTTTATCTTCTCTTTTATACTTTTTACGCTCTCTTACTTTTTTTACATTATTCACTCCCCCTACTACTTTATTCCTTAATAACGTGTCCAACCTAATGCAGTGAATATTAAAATGTTGAGGGATTATTTCCCATTGATTTTGTCAAATCATATCAATGATTTGATATAGAAGGTTATTTTACTCAATAGATATTGTCAAAAAAGCATCAGATCAGATTAGATCATACCAGACTTATGTAATTATAAAATACATAGAGATCGACATTTATCAGATCAGAAAATTTCAATCCAATTAAAAATACCCTAATAGCCATCCCGTGCTCATTTCTACATATTTTATGTTGGAGTATTTCTATGTTTTGAAGATATTGATTTGATAAGCTCAGCTCAACTGCCCAAACAATGTTATTCCAACCAGTAATTGTTCAAATGAGTTAAATGACCCCCGTAGGCATGGATCGGGCCTGGGCTGGTTCAAGTCAGGCATTTTTTCCAGGATGTTGGGCTCGAAACCGGCCCAGGTTGATACCGGGTCCGGGTCAAAATCGGTCCGGGTCGGGATCAATGTAATTTTTTTTGGCTTTGTAATTAACCCCCGACCCCCCTCCTTTACCCCCAACCCCCCCCCCCCCCCAAAACACCCAGCACTATCCAAGAAAAAGAAAAAAAAAGAAAAAAAAACAAAAAAAATTGAACCCGGCCCGGACCGTCCGGGGCGGTTCATGAAAAATAGGGCCTGAGCCCGGCCCGCCCAAACCGTCCAAATCGGGTTAAAGCCTGGAACCGCCCATCCCCAAGCGGTCCGGTCTGGGCCCGCACAGTAGCGGGCCGGGCCGGGTTCAGCCCGATTGGGTCCATCCCTAGACTCCCATCTAAGCCTTTTTCAAAACAAAATGCGGAAAACATAATGAACTCATGGTAGTTTTGTATGTCAAAAATACCAAATTGACTACTAAAACCCCTTTTTGTTTAAGAGATCATAAAAACTTAAAAAGATTTTTTTGTTAGAAGAAGCTGACTATGAACCCAATTCATCTTTTGCCGCATCATCTTAAAAAGCACTCCTTGAATTTTTTCATATTAATTATTAAGATGATTAATAACTAATAATATGCGCGCCGGTTCGGCAATTATGTGCTAACACTTAGAGCAGCGTAGAAGTGACCTTTTCCCTAACTTTCGTCTAGGGTTTGTCTTTCCTGCAAGCAGCTTGCACCGTTTCTTGTCCGGCGAAAGATTTGGAGTGACAGTGGAAGGTCAGTTGTTACCATGATCTGCTTCTCAATGGTCTGCTTCTCGTCGATGTTACTGGATGTGCTGCTATGGATTAGGGATGGACTCGGTTCGGGCTGGGCCCGGTTCGGGCCTTGAACCGGCCGGGCCTCGGTTCCAGGTATGGGAGGCCTGGAACCGGCCCGGGTAACCCCCGGGTCCGGGCCGGGTCTCGGTTTTTCTTTTTTGGGCTTTTCCTAGTTAACCCCCAACCCCCCCTCACCCCCAAACCAACCCTAACCACATCAAATGGCCCAAAATACCCAACCCAAAAACTTAAAAAAAAATCAAAAAAAAAAAAAATTAAAATTGGCCCGGCCCGGGCCCGAACCGGCCGGCCCGGTTCACCTTTTGAAGGGCCCGAGCCCGAACCGAGATCCCACTGGGCCGGGTGGCCCGAACCGGCCAACCAACCGGTTCACCGGACCGGTTGGCCCAGCCCGAGTCCACCCCTACTATGGATCGAATCTGGAGGTTTGTGATTGATACATTCGATTGGAAAATCATCTGACAATTTTTGGGTCGAGTTACGAGCAAGGGATAGAACAGAATAGGGGTGGACTCAGGTCCGGGCCGGGTCCGGGTCGGGCCTAGGCCCGGGCGGGCCGGCGGGTTAGAAATGGTGGACCCGGGACCGGCCCGGGTAACCACCGGGTCCGGTCCGGTTCCGGGCCGGGCCCATTATAATTTTTTGTTTTGTTTTCCTCTTCCTAATTAACCCCCCTCCCACCCCCAACCCCCAAACCACCCCACGGGCCGGGCCTACCCGGACCGGTCACTGACCGGGCCACCGGGTCGGGTCGGGCCGGGCTGGAACAGTACCGGTCCCGGGCCGGTTCCGGGTCGGGCCACCCGGCCCGAGTCCATACCTAGAACAGATCGGTTTGGAAGATGATACTTCCAGAATACTGGCAGAAAATAGCTTGGAGTATTTGTCAATTATTTTATTTTTTATGATCTTACTTTCACGTTTGTCTATGTTGCTCTATTTTTTATTGATGGCTTTAGTTTTAGGTCTACTATAAAGATTGACAATTGTGCTAGGTATTATGTCATTAGAAGGATCTATATGATCAATGATTGCTGTTTTACACTCGTTTGATGGTTAGCGATTTATATTTCTCTTTTAGGGGTGATCGTTTCAAAGTCTAGCCGTAGGGTTGATAGTATGCAAGTGCTAGTTGGTTACAAATAATTAATGTCATTGTTGGTCTTTTTGAGTTTGATGTAATGATCTGAATCATAATGGTATTAGTTTTTCCTTCAAAAAAAGAAGCTTATTATAGAACATGAGTTAGTGTTATAAGTTACGTACATTAGTTAGGTGATCGTTTCAAAGTCTAGCCATAGGGTTGATAGTATACAAGCAGTTTTTCCTTCAAAAAAGAAGCTTATTATAGAACATGAGTTAGTGTTATAAGTTACGTACATTACAATTTTAATATGAATTAGAATTCCATTTTTTAAAGGTGTTTGTCACGTTTTCATATCTCAAAGATAGTGGCGGGATGGAGGTTGTGCTAGCTATAAGTTGGTGTATAACTTACCAATCAGTGTAACAGACCTTAAGCCGATAATGAACTCTGCAAGGCTTTTTATTAGCTCATAAATCTTCTTTAGGGAACAATGTTGAGGCGCAAGAGCGATATTTTCGAGTCAAATGAAACCATCCAGGAAAAAGCCCTTTCCTACTTTCTGAACATTCTATTTACACTGTGTTATGTGTTGTATTAACCTCCCAAGTTTAAACAAGAAGCAGGAAAGGCTGATGCTGGACCGGTTGTGTGTGGTTTATCACCAAGGGGCCGAGAAAAACTACCTTTTTCCCCTACTATCACCTCCTGAATAAAGTTTACCAATGGTTAGGCTTTTCATTTTAATGTTCATAGTCTTCATACTAATGCATTAAAAGCAGATTACAATTAATATGTACCTGAAGTTGTTAACAACCCTGTCGCCAACTTTTTGAATCTGCTTTGCAAGAAGACCTTGTGACTTTTCTTTGTCTGTCTGTTTTATCTATGGAAAGTTAAAAAATAATAGACTTATGAGAAATACAAACGTAGCAGCTCATAACGTTTGAACTAGAGGATTAGAAACCAATCCATTTGTGCATCATCCATTTGGCCCTCAAAGTATTAATAATTCTCATGAAATGAGGTCAATTTTCACGTAGCTTGGCAATAATTTGTCAAACAAGTGAGAAGAGCAAGTTAAAACAACAAATAAACATATCAAAAACATTCTATTTCATGATTTTTATCGGTTGTACCTTAATCAAACATGACTTTTTAGGATAGGAGTAATGAATTGTATCTCATCCACTAGACACATACATTTTTCCATCCATTTAGATGATTTTATAAAATGGATCGATTGGGTTTCTTCAACGAATCATAAATGGATTAATTGATTAATTTGTACACATCCACTATATAATCAAAATAAAAAATTATTCAATCCATTGATTCGACACCCTTTGATCTAAAGGAGTGGGTAAAAACAATTCAAAAGTTACCAAAGATTGGAGTTCAATTTATGCTTACCTCACAGTTTTGTTGGAAGTATGCCCATCTATTTTCTTTAGAACCCTTGTACCAAGAAAAGTAGCTCCATCAAATAACCATCGTACATTAGGAAATATCAAAGGCAACAACTTCTTTAGGGTCTGTTCGGTTTTAGGGTTTCAGGAGGGGGAGCTTTGGAAAGTTTGGACAGTACCTTGATATACATAGAATGTTTCTAAAAACTAATAAAACGTGATTGAAATTATAGTCCATCCAAGGTATGTTAATCTTTCAGTTTTTATAAAATCTCAAACACGTATGAAGATATAAGACCAACCTCTCCAAAACCCTCCATGGAAAGAGACCCTTAAACGATAGGGAATAAGTGAAACCTTTGAAGTTATGAAGGCAGGCTGTTTCAACCTTGAAGGAGCCTCAGCACTTGATTGAGTTCCACATGCTAGAGATAACTATGTAAACATGGGATAAAGTGAGAGATATGTGACAGCTAAGTCAAAAACAGATTAAGAAAATGAAAGCGAGAATATCGATATTCTGTAATTTACCTTGTTAAAGAGTTCGATTGGTGGGTTAGAGTGATTATGATGAACTCCTCTCTTTTCAGTAAGAAAGTTAAATTCCTGTGTTGTAAATAGTACAGTATATCAGAATCGGTTTCATAGAATAGAGCTAACAAGCCTCAAAACCAAGGGGGTTGGACACTACCATGGGTACAGTGGTTTCCTTCTTGATGTTACGAAAAACCCCCAACTCTCCTCTGCTCAAAAGTATCTGTTATACACAAGAATTTGTTAGTTTACAGAATTTAGGGAAGAAATTGATTAGTAACATTCACAGTACCTTCTTATTAAGAGGGAGAGCTTTTAACTTGTTTGATGACAATGATCCTTCTTGTTTCACTTGTTCCGTGATATTGGGTCTGAAAAATAAATGCATATTTGAATAGGGAAAATCAATCTAATTATAAAACACGACTTCATTAATGTAGCATAAGCATAAATGTTATTTACATCCATATAGTTATAATCTTTATTCATAGCTTTGAGATTACTGGAAATACATGGTATAACAATTTATATTCATGTTGTAGTTATATACTACCATAAGTAATGCTGTGAACATCACAAATACTACTTACTTTCTACGTTCTTTGTTTTCGCACTCAAAGCTGAAACCGGTATTAGAATTTTGTAATACCTGAAATGACACTACCTTTGATCATAAAACTGAAATCATAATGTGAAATTAAGCAGAGAACAGTTACAAGTGTTTGAAATATTTACTGTTATATTCTTGCAAAAAACACTGCCTCGAGAACTGCAGTATGCCATGGAATTGGCCTCAGGTTCTATATGGCAGAAAACTACATCTGCTGCTGATTTACTTTTCTCTTTTGATATTGAAAAGAATTAATTATTTAATGAGACCGATCAAGTATATACTACCTTCTTTAACTGATCACAGACCATCCTTGTTATTTATCTCAGAATCAAAATAACTTGTAACGATTATTCAGCACCTCATAGCTTGAACTAGACAAATCTTTTGAAAAAAATCTACCTTATTGGTATTATTGGAAACAACATTGAAAGAAGTTGCTGATTTGTGCTGCATAGCCCTCTCTGATGTCTTTAAATGGAACTCCTGAAAACCAAGGAGAAAGACCAATTTGTTTGTTGCCCAAAATAACTTGTAGTGATTATTCAGCACTTCATAGCTTGAACTAGACAAATCTTTTGAAAAAAAACTACCTTATTGGTATTATTGGAAACAACATTGGAAGAAGTTGCTGATTTGTGCTGCATAGCCCTCTCTGATGTCTTTAAATTGAACTCCTGAAAACCAAGGAGAAAGACCAATTTGCTTGCTGCCCAGTATGTATAAGAAAAAAATTGCGTGTAGAAAACATCCAAATAGATCCAAGGTTTTATGTACTTGAAATTGGGGTGGTTGTGGGGTACTTCTCTTTGGAATCAGTGAAGTAGTTTCAAACATCTGTAACAAATATCAATGTCTGTCAATGTGAAAAAATATCCTTTATGCAGAGATAAATCTGTGTACAATGTAATATATATACATAAAAAACATACTAACTTTTCTATTCAAAGGACGGGCTTTAAATCTGTAAACATCTGATGTCGCATTTTCTGTTTCTTTCTGTGGTTTATCCGGAAAGTTTGGAATTGGAAATTTTCTGCTTCTTTCTGTAGTCATTCCCTAAATTTAACATTGCGATTAGCTCTTGAAGTTCAAATTAATAATACCAACAATCAGATATAAAAGAAGTATGAGGCATTCCCTTCTTCAAGGCTTACAGTCATTACCCTTTTAGGAGCCTTATGAATGAAGTTTGTTTGTGCCTTTGTATCAGTAACCTGAAAATAAATAAGGTGAAAGTGTGAGTGGGTGGAGGAACGACCAGTATGCAAGTTGTGGACTTGTGATAAACTATCCTCCACAAAAACTAAAATATTTATAAAAAAACAAATAGAACCTTGTGCAGCAGACCACCTTCAAGCTTCTGTCTCTTGCTAGCTTGGTTATCACTGACAATTGCTTTTGGCTCCGCTATATCACGCACCGAATTAGGAAATCTGGCATTCAGAGAATTTCAATCTTTGGAATTCATTATTAGAATGAAAAATGTACAACATGTAATATGTAAAATTCAAATTCAAAGCACTATTAGGTATTAACCATGTACATTGCAATCACACTTAATAACTATTAAAAAAAACTACATGAAATGTTTGCTAGTGTTTGCTAGTATGAACAGTCATGTTATACAGCACCTTACACCACCAACTAGGTGAGAAGGGTTCTGCTTGGCCAGGTGACTTGCTGTTGGTTTCATTAGAGTAGAGGACCTGGGATATGAAGGCTTCCTGCCATACTTATTTTTTGCTTTTGAATTATCTTTCAGAAGGTGATTATAGAATGTCAAGCCTGCAAGGAAACAACTTCAGAGCATTTAGACCTATTGTACTCCGGGGCAGGGGTTGGGGTCTGTTAGAAAAGAGCATAACCTGTTGGTAATACTTCGGGTAGATTTTGAAATTTCAGCACAGTGGTGCTAGCCAACATAGGTGCAATTCCTGTTCTATCTCCTTGAACAAAAGAACAGACCCGAGATTCATGAACATGTATTTCACTTTTAAAAACTACTCCGTATATGCGAAAAAACGAGGGATTTAGCTCTTCCTACCTTTTTTAGTTAGGATGGTGATAAGTTGCTAACTTCATCCCTTAGGGCTATGGTAAAACAATAATAGGAGAAGAATATTCCTCGTAATTTTCATAAATTAACTCAACAACAACAACATCCAAGCTTAATCCCAAAAGATTTTGTGATCGGCTAACATGAATCGAAACATGAATCATAAATTAACTAAATCATCAAATAATTATCTTCATGCTTACCCTTTTAACAACAAACAATTCATCAATGGAGTCCATTAATCATTAAATTGAATGTATCTTGAAAGCAAGACAGAATATTCTGTCTTCTTAGTGCTTAAACATAATCCTAAGGGATATGGTTTGTATTTTCCTTATAAGGATGGCATACAGGAAAGCTAAATAGTTTTTGTAATATTAATATGATTCCATGCTACTAGAAGCTGTCGATTTAACTCGAGAAAGCTTTTCTAGCTATGACTAGCATGCAGTATTAAGCTTGCGTAAAAGAAACATATTGAACCAATCGAGTCACATTAACAATACCTGCTGTACTACACACTTGTCTAGAAGAACGCTTTTCATAGACATCCTCTGTATCAGAATCACTTTCAGACAAACTCATACTATCAGCATCTTTGGGTTTAGCATAGGCACTTATGTTTCCACAACAATTGCCTTCGCTTGATACTAACTTTTTGACAAAAGCTGAAAACATAAGCAAAACTTATGAATAAAAGACACCGAGACACGTGTCAGCATTGATCATATCATGGAGAAAACATACATATGATACATGTATACAAAAAATTAATTTTGAGAAAAGTTCTTTTTATACTGGTCCGAAAACTCCCCTTGGTACCAATAATACGATTAGAATCTTTCCTTGGTACCAATAATATGATTAGACACGTTTCTAAAATGAACAAAGGTGTATTCCCCTTCCTTTACCTAGGGGTTAAGATGTACAAAGTTCTCTCCCAGACTAAGACAATCATGTGATTAGAATTGATCAATGTCTCAATAGCTAAAAGAACAAAGTTCTCTCCCAGACTAGAAAAACCATTTTTATCAAGCATGTTTTATCTATCTTCCCCCTTTATACATTGGCCTCATCTAAAGTCTCTAATGGTGTCCGCAAAGACATTGAGAATCAACGCTGCATCAAATTCCTTTGGCAAAAGGACCTTAACTCGAACAGTAAATTTAGTTGGAGGTCATGGTCTAAATGCTCCTACCCTTACAATGAGAATGGTTTGAGTTTTTGCAGGTTGCAGGACATTCAAAACAGATTCTACCTAAAAATTTGGTGAAAAAGGCAAAAATTGGAACAAAAATATTCTTTGATTTGTCGAGGTCTCGAGGACAAAGCATATGGGCTACTATTTTCAATTCCTTACGTTCATGCAACCTATCTTCTTTTTGGGCTTCAATGTATTCTGTAAAACATCTCTATAGTGTGAACACTACTATATCTGTGCATGACGGCAACAGCTCCTTGTGGGATTCCTACTTTATCTCCACACAATTAAATGCATGGTGGTGATGAAACAAAAATTATACCCTTTATTAAAAGGAAAACTTTTCAAGTTCTCATATTTTGGAAATGAATTGGTTTGGAAATGGAAAACATTGTCCAACTTCCTACTGCTTCAAAATCAATTCCAAAAACTACCTTCGTCACATCCTCATGGATAAAACAAGAAACACCAGAAGGTGGGTCGACAGTACATTAATAAATCCTTGCAGATCTACCTGCTACTGCCTACATCAGTACGTCAACATATATATAGAATGTTTGGATTTACAAATTAAAATATACTCCGTAGAACGTTTGGATTTAAAAATTAAAGTATAGAACGTTTGGATTTAAAAATTAAAATAGGTATATCAGTTAATGTATGAATTATAAAGCCAGCTAAGAATTTAAGAGGAGTTCGGTGTTCCAAATTTAATCATAAACACGTACCGTACCTCCGTACCCGTATGAAACTAACTACTAGTATTTGCGTAGTAAACTAGCATATGACGGACATTGCTCAATTAGTAATATTAAGGAGAGTATTCAAATCAGACTATTGGAGCCCTTCCAAAATTACTATCTGTCCCGAATTGAATTGCAAACTGCTTATTTTTTACACTTTTACCCATCTTTCTAAAAGTTAATGGGAAAATGTAAAAGTAAGGGTAAATTTGTCACTTTATTCTTACTTACATACCTAAAATAGAAAGTGGAAAACCATTTTGGCACAACCAAAAAAGAAAATTTTGCAAGACAAATTGGGACAGAGAGAGTACGATTTTTTCGAATAAATTTTTATACTGAAATTCATCACAATTCAATTTTTATACGTAGTAATATGTAATTCAGTAATAATCATCTACAATTATGTACTAGTATTTAACATGTACATTTAATCATTTATTCGTAGTTATTAAAGCCTGAAAATTAATTTTGAATATGACAAAGAAAAAGTCAAACCTATATACGGAGTGCTCTTTATATTTGGGAAAAAAACCTAAATAATACTAAAACACATGAGTTTTCCCAAAATATGACTCAATGTGTTTTTTTATCTTCCGTATGACTACGCAGCTATGATTCCGGCGGTTATGCGCATGCAGTTATTAGTCTTACGGTTACAAACTACTCATACATTAGGAAAAATTAGCAAGTAGTCATAGATTAATCATGACACTAAGTTTTAGTGATACGAGGGATAAATTTCTCTTTATATTTTTGTAGTCTTTTTTTTTATTATCTAAAAGTCTTTGATACAAAAACTTAGGCTGAACTGAGCTAAAAAGTCATTATACTAGACTTAGAATTAGCCAGTGAACTAAATTATACTAGACTTAAATATTAGCGAGTGAAATAAATATGAAAATTGAAAAAATGTACATCAAAAAATTGAAAAAAAAATAGGTTGCCCTGAACTTCAATCCACTATAGCCCTAGTGTAGATTTTTCTAGTAATCTCTTTTAATCAAATAATTTGTGGTTCCAAATTTATGTCTTTCTTTTGTACAAATCTTAACCATGCAGTTTTTACTTTATTAATCCCCGTGCTAGTCGAACTTGACAAAGTTTTAATGGATGAAATCTATTTTTTTTTTTAACTTTGTCATGATGATGATCCATATTTCTCTTTAAATAAATAACTTTAAGATTAATATTTTTCGCCCTCTTTGGCATTCTTCTCAAGCGAGCATAGTAAAAACTAATAAAATCTTTTAATGAGATGGAGTAGAAAATAACAAATAAAAAGATTTTTTCCCTAGAATATTAGGTAAATGAACGGTATGGTGAAGAATAAGATTAAAGTAACCATGAGTATAATTTTATGGTCCTCAAATTAAATACAATCATAGTTACTGCTACGTATAACCTTAGGTCCATACTCCTTAGTCCCCTGAGTTTGGTACTTTGTACATGAAATTGAAATGTTAGTGCAATTATTAAGAAAAAAGAATTTGAATAATTAACATAGAATTGATCATTTTTAAAAAGTAAGAATGATTTATAATCATACAAACATTACAAATTGAGCTATGGAACAAATTTAGAAGGGTGGATCACAAAGAAAAAGTTGGACAATCACAACGTCACAAAGAGAGCAAAATTACTAAAAATCACATTTATGCTCGACCTTTATATTTTAGTTGCATACTTTCTCTATTTTCTTTCAATTGCAAAACCTCTCTTTATGTACAACTTTGACTATTAATATACTTCGTATTTAATAATTCTTTATAAGTAAAAAAATTAAAAATCCAGATTTTGAAAATTTATAACAAGACAAATTTAATGATTTTTTCAAAAATGGATTTGATAATACATTAGTAATAAAATACAATTAAAGTAAACTATTACATGTTGCAATTATTTATGGACGTATATATTCTACTATGATATATTGTTGCAAATAAAAAAAAGTTGAGAAGTAAACAAGTAAGACAAAATGGTAAATAAACATTTACGTAATGACATATCAAACAAAGGAATTTTCATTGTCAGAACTTGGCAATAGTTTTTTAAAAGTAAAAAAAACTGATAAAAATGTTTTCTAGTTTCTGCTCCCTAATATAATGAGAAAATGAAAGGTAAAAGGTAATACGGAGTATTAGCATGTAAGGTTGTTTTTACTTGGACAATAATTCATCCCAGATCAGACCAGATCAAAACAGACCAGACCAGACCAGACTAAAACAGACCAGACCAGACCAGATCAGACCAGACCAGACCAGACCAGACCATATTTCATTATCATTATTATTATTAATAATATTATTATTATTATAATTATAATAATTATTATTATTATTATAATTATTATTATTATTATTATTAGGGGTGTGCACCGGTTTAAAACCGAACTGGATCGTACCGAACCGGACCGGATATCATTCCGGTTCGATCCGGTTCTGGTTTTTCCGATCCGGTTCGGTCCGATTTTCCGGTTTAAACTGGACAACGCACACCCTAATTATTATTATTATTATTATTATTATTATTATTATTATTATTATTATTATTATTATTATTATTATTATTACGGGTGTGCACCGGTTCAAAACTGGACAAGACCGTACCGAACCGGACCGAATATCATTCCGGTTTGATCCGGTTCCAGTTTTTCCTGTCCGATTCGGTCCGGTTTTCCGGTTTAAACCGGCTAGTGCACACCCCTAATTATTATTATTATTATTATTATTATTAGGGGTGTGCACCGGTTCAAAACCAGACCGGACCGTACCGAACCGGACCAGATATCATTCCGGTTCGATCCGGTTCCAATTTTTTCGATCCGGTTCGGTCCGGTTTTGTGGTTTAAACCGGATAGTGCACACCCATAATTATTATTATTATTATTATTATTGTTATTATTATTATTATTGTTATTGTTATTGTTATTTGTAATTATAAATGAATAAAATATAATTATTTATAGATTATAATATATATAAAAAATAAAATCTTTATGCGAAAAATATAAAAATAAAATTTCAGATCAGATCAGACCAGACCAAAATAGACCAGACCAGACCAAAACAGACCAGACCAGACCAAAACAGACCAGACCAAACCAAATTACAGTGTAAAAACATACAAATGTGCAATATTGCGTGGATGTGTTGTGGACCCTATTGGAAGACTTAATTTATATTTTTGGTGAGATCAGGTGACGCGCTGGTCTTGAAAAAAAGCGGAAATGGACCTACAAACAGTATATTTTACCAGAACTTTGCTCTCAACGACGAAACATCGTGGAGAAAAGGGCCTTAGCCACAACCCAATGTATGCAGGTTTCCGCATTAAAAGCACAGAACAATGAGAGTTGCGACAGAAGCTGAAAACAGTAGATTTTAAAAGTTACTCTTACATTTAGGTCACATTTACTGATTTGAAGTCTGTTTCGAAGTTCTGAAGTGGGTAAAAAACGAAAATTTTGAAATAATTACTCTTTATGTTCTAAATAACTGTCCGAAATGAAGACACGAGTCGATACCAGGTTAAATAATGAAATTTATTTCTAAAAATAAAATAAAAAAGAATCTCTCGCATTCACAACGAACGAGAATATCAAGTATATCGAAGATAATATGCGTAAATAAACAGCACGAGAAAAAAAGGAAAGGAAAAAAGGGAGCTTACGAGACGGCGGATATGTGCCGGCCGTTTCAAACCAGCTCTCAGCTGCACGCGCCTCCACAGGAGACTCTCCGCCGCAGAAATTGAAGTACCGCGGCGCGTCAAATTCGTAATCCAGATCAATCTCCACCACCGTAAACGTATACTCCACCATATCCTCCACCTCGTTATCCAACATTTCTCCGCTGCTTACAGTTCCCTCTCTGGAAAAAATAAACACCAGAACTGTAACCGAGTATTTCAAACGCAGTTCCACTCCCTGCGAGCGTACGTGTATCTCTTTGGTGATCTCCAGCTGCTCTTGAAGTACGGAATCTCCGGAAAATCTGCCCAAACAGTTTAGACAGAAGAGTTTCTGTGCGAGGGAGCAAAAAGCTGAAGATTTGAGAAGGTGTAGCCGAAGCACGGAGATTACGGACTCCTACAGAGACGGCTATTGGTCAGAAGGGTCCAAATAAATTTTGAATTGTGACTATGGGCGGCCCGAATTGGGGGGCATAATATAACGTTAGTATTTATATTTTCCCGGACCAATCTACCCCTGGGGTTGTGTAGAGCAAATCTCATAAGTGCCCTTCAGCAATTTGAACTATAGGCACCGTTTGTTTATCACGAAAAAAAGGAAATTGTATAACGAAACGTTTGGACATCGCTAACTTTGAATAGGGTGTGAAATATGAAAACTGAGAATTGTATGACTAATGTTTGGACAAATGAAAGAAAAATAACTTGAATCACCAATTAATTACCTTAAAATAAAGGGTTTTTAAAACACATAAAAGGGAAGTTGGGGAAGTCTAACAGGACGAAGGAAGTATTAAGAAAAAATGCATCAATTATCTATATAGGGGTTGTTATCATCAATATGGATTTCAACCACTCGCCCTTTTAAATTATACCCAAGTCTTGTGAAAGGTGAGATCCTTCCTAGAGCTATGTGTCACCATGTCAGAACTTGGTAAGGTTCTCAATGTTCACCCTTGACGCAATCACATTCATACCATTCAACTCTTCTTTAAAACCGAGCTAGATCACGATCCTCTCATGTATGTGCAACCACTACTTTAAATAGCAAACTGTAATTTGTATGCTAATTCTATTTATCTCCTTATTAACTAGATATGACAAAAAAAAGTTTGAAACATATGATGTGGATTTTATAAAAATGTATGTGTAAATTTGTAAAAACAATATCAGTGAAAGTGCACTTATGTTTATATTCCTAATACATTTGGAATTGCCGAAATTTATGAAGTTCTGTGTGAAGTGATTGTATTGGCTAATTCTGTTGATATAAAAAAAAATTATATTTAAAATATATTTTATTAGTAGAATAAAAAATTTATATTGTAAAAATAGCTAAAATGATCTTGTACAGTAACTTCGGCTAATACAGTCAGATGACTAAGTCTCGCCATACTTTTTCTTATTATTACATAATTCAGCGCGCAAAATCCAAAGTTATGTATTTGATAAAAAAATTGGCAGATAAACCTGATAAGCCAAAACACAAGTCTACCGAACAGTCTCTTGTTTGTTGTTGGTTTACAATGTTGTATACCCATTTAGGATGTTTTTACTTGGACTATAATTTGCTGGTCTGGTCTGGTCTGGTCTGATCTGGTCTGGTCTGGTCTGGTCTGAACTGGTCTGGTCTGGTCTGGTCTGGTCTGAACTAGTCTGGTCTGGTCTAGTTTCTTTGTATTTTTATAACTATTCAAGTCTGGTCTGGTCTGGTCTGATCTGAACTGGTCTGGTCTGGTCTGATCTGGTCTGGTCTGGTCTGGTCTGGGACGAATTACAGTCCAAGTAAAAACATCCTTATATACGAAGTATAATATATAGTGTGTGCCTTACTACCGTCGATATATGAATTTGAAATAGACCAACTATGCAATTTTAGCATTTTAAGTGTATCTTTTTAAAACTTAAGATAGTATTGATTTTGAAAGAGTATACAAAAGTCAAAATATTACACCAATAAACTCTATATATGCTAATTTCTTACAATGTTGTACTTTTCTATGAAATAAATACACTTTTGGTTTAGTTGTTTCCTAATACTCAACACTTGTGAGTGCAGTTTATTCTAAACACATCATTGATATATTATAATTGTACTTATTCTCAACACTTGCAGTTTATTTTTGTACTTATTTAGAAAAATTGTAAATATATATAAATAAATAAATAAATGTCTAGGATATTTAATTTAGTGTATATATAGTGCGAAATTTTAAATAGATATTGTAATGATATATGCACAAAATAAATAATTAGCAGTGCAAAAATGAATTGATGGAATGAAAATAGTGAATGATCCGAACCATGAGTTATTACTAAATTAATTTAAAATATACTACTTTCTCCTCCAATTAAAGTCCCTCAATTAAAGTCTAGGTTTGACTTTGAGTGAAATTTGTTAAACTTTGACCTTTGATTACTCAAAACTAACAATACTTTATAATTCAAAATTAATTTTAAATGTTTCATTGTAATATGTATTAATCAAATGCTAATTTATTATAGATTATATAGGTATATATATTTATAGATAAATTTGGTCAAATGTTCGTCTAGAAGATTGTAAGTCAAAATGAGACTTTAGTTGTGAGATCCAAATTGATTTTTAAGTCTCAAATTCAGGCAACAAATACTCTGAATCCACAAATCTACTCTCAAGGGAAACAACCTGAGTTGCCACCAATTCAGGCATACAATTTTGACCACTCTGATGTTTCTTTTTTCTTAGATGACTTTCTGGGACATGCAATCAAAAGTGATGGTCGTACTCCCATTTCACACTAGAAGAAAATTACGAGCTCCAAATTCAACAGAGCAATTTGCAGCAAAGCTAATTTCTTTACATCAAAAAATTGTCTGCCTACAGAATAACTTGAACATGTAACTCAAGATTTACAGGAAATCTCTAAAGAACAAAAGACGCACAACATGAAGACTATGTCTTAGTCCAGAGATTTTCTTTGGGTGTAGCTTAGTTCTTTTTCTTTTTGTTTTTTTTTGTCCTGTTTTTCATTTATTTCCTTTTCTCTCTTTATACTAATTTCTTTCAATAAAATCCACTTTTATAAAAAAAGAGGGAGTATATATACCTTACACTTTTTTTATATTTACGAAATTGTCATTGTATTTAATTATTTGATGTTGTCATATTTGGAACAATGTCTGAAAAGTGTAATAGATGAGCTGCATAGTGCAACAAATTAAGTTAAAAATGTTCACTCTCACGTTCTCACGATAAGCATGATTCTCATTAGGACTTAGAAGTGCAATGAGTAAGTACGTATATAGTGAAATTAAAAGTGTACGAAACTTCAAAGTCGATACATCGAAACTGTACCGACTCTAAGTACATAAGTACTTCACTGAAACTTATGTACTTAGAGTCGGTACAGTAACCCCTTTTTCGACTTATCAAAAGTACTTAAAAATAGCACATTATTTATTACTATATACGTACTTAGAGTCGGTACAGTAACCCCTTTTTCGACTTATCAAATCATCAGTCAATTTTTATACACCAAAAACATAATTTTCGTATTGATGCCTTTAATTATTAGTAACACAATAAATTATTTTTATGCCTGAATTGATAAGATCGAAGTTATTTTTTTACTATATTTGTTGAATATCACTATTTTAGTTACGCTTCCATATAAAGTTTTCTTTATTTTTCTAATAAAATAGTCAATTCTACCATTTCAATCGGTAAATTCAGTCAATTTTGTGTTACCAATCGGGTCTTTAGGTTACATACTTACATGTGATTGAAATGTCAAAAAAGAGATTTTACCGTTCTTAAAAACTCAATTTAATTTTTTATCATTTACAAGAAAATAGTACCGGAGTAATAATTTTTAATGATTTTTTATCATTCAAAGTTAGAAAAAGCCTACACCGGCTAAGTAGAAATACTGTGTTAAAATTTACTTAGCTCAAAGGTTTTTTAAAAGAATTAAAAATAGAAATGGAAAAGTAAAATAGAAAAACAATAATAATATCTCAGGACTGCTCAAAACAAACACTTGGGCGGAAAGAACAAAAAAAATAGAAAAGTAAAGTAAAATAAAAACAAAAATACTTGGTAATATCTAAGGACTCCACAAACAAACACTATGGTTAGGCTAAGAATTGTTTGAGCTCAATCAAAACCATAATAACTACTCCCTCCTTCCCATAAATATCTTCCTACTTTCCTTTTTGGGCCGTCCCAAAAAATTCTTCCCATTTACCATTTTTGAAAAACATTGTGTGACTCACATTCATTTACCTTTTTTACACAACTACAACCATACATTTCCATTTTATTCATACTTCCTTAGTTTGCGAGCCAAGTCAATGTGAGAAGAATTTTTTGGGACGGAGGTAGTATATTAATGTATGAACATTCTCCATTTTTTACCATTCCTTTTACCTAAAAATCATTCATATTTTACTATTCCTTTTACCTAACTCAACAATTTTTACGTTTCAATTTTACTAATTTTAAACTACATAGCAAAAGCAGAAGGTTGTGTAGATATTTTATCATATTTTTCCTAATCTATGAGCCCAAAAGTTTTTGTCAATATCAAGTTGGATTGGAGGTAGTATCTAATATATTGGACGTTACAATTTTATTAGTTATGGGTGACATGGGATAAATCCCCAGAGCAAAGCGGAGTTTAAATTGGTGAATCAGAATGAAAATCATATTCTCCCTGGCGGAGCCAATGATACCACAAAACTAAGGATTCTTGGATCTCAAAACTCATACTTAAATGGTCTAATGATATTGTAGAAAAGTATTGTTGTATTTCATATACTTGATAATAAATGCTATACAAGAAGCTATATTTATAGCTATATTTAGAGCACTAGAGTTTCCTATACAAGATATACAAATGGGCTAAGCCCAATACTACAAGGGTTTCCACACTTCCCCTCAAGCTGGAGCATATAAATCATATGTACCAAGCTTGTTACAAATATAGCCCACTCTAGAACCTCTAAGAGACTTAGTTAAAATATCTGCAAGTTGTTCAGTTGTGTTCACATAATTTGTGATGATTTGTCCACTTGTAATCTTCTCTCGGATAAAGTGACAATCAACTTCAATATGCTTAGTTCTCTCTTGATATACCGGATTTGATGTGATGTTCATTGCGGCTTGATTGTCACACATGAGTTGAACCGGTTTTGTGTTTCCATATTTTAACTCTCGGAGAAGATGCTTCAGCCATAAGATTTCACATGTAGCAAGGGCCATTGCACGATATTCTGCTTCGACATTAGATCTAGCAACTACATCCTACTTCTTACTTTTCCATGAAATTAAGTTTCCACCGATCAAGATGCAATATCCTGAAGTGGAACGTCTATCCATCGGACACCCGGCCCAGTCCGCATCACAATATCCCATAATATCACGGTGGCCGGCCTCGATCTTCGAACAACAATCCTTGCCCTGGTGTTTTCT